ACCATCTACATCAGAGGATCTTTGACTCCAGAGGGAGTTTCTCCACCACACACTCCCCCCCCTGCCTGTAACGCCATCCATTGGACTCCTTTGTTAACTTCTGTAGTGACATCGCTTCTATTGGCTAGCGATCCAACACATTGTACGCAATAGGCTAAGGCCCCTTAAGTAAGCAAAATGCAAGGCAGTGTTTGTGTAAATAGGATGTTGTTTATAGAGTGTTAAATAAATCCATCATGTTCTCAGTTCAGAAAAAGATATACTTGTTTTGCGGGATGTGTTTGAGAGACAAAGCAATTGAGGTGAGTATGTTTCTCTTCAGCCGCTACGTTCACCGCCTGATTTTTTGTGTTTTCTTACCTACAACGATCCATACTGTGAATCGTATCCAGGTCAGATAGCTGAGCTTCATCATGAGGAACACATTGATGAGGATACTGGCAGCTGGAGTCAATGGAACCAAAGGTACCTGTGCAACAATGAGCACCATTAATAATCCAATTATTTATTATGTAGTTTTCATGACATTTGGCTTTGAATAAAATCTATCTGTGACCAAACAGAGTGTAAGAAAACAGTATTTAATCACAACTTATTTTGAAAAATCCACTAGGAAGCTCACCTGGAATGTTTTGCTCTTGCTTTGTGGCTCGTGAAGCCAGATGAGCGTCAGGCTGAGAACATACGCTAAAATAAAAATCACCAGCAGCATTGAGAAGCTCCAGATTGGCAGCTGCAGCTGATTGGTTCCAAACTCTAACACAATACAGAGGGAGACTGAGCTCACGATCAGTGTGAGGACGCAAAAGGCCACCACCTCTCCCGGCTCACAGTCCCCCAGCAGCTTGCCGAGGTACGGTTCCCAGTAAGCCTTCAGCTGACCCGGTCCACGCTTCTCACTTGACACCTGTCTCTCCACCAGCTGCAGTTTGTCAGAGAAGGACTCGTACTGCTTCAGCTCCCCGCTGTCCTCCCTGATGGTCTGAGACTCTGTGGGGGCAGGGGAGGTCTCAGAATTTGGGTTGGGAGATGTGGAAGCGGTTCCTTTAGAGCTGATTCTGTCAGGCTGGAAGCGCAGCACAATAACACTCGCTGCCACAAAGGTGTATGCTAGGAGGGTGCCGATGGACAGGAACTGAACCAAGGCCTCCAAGTCAAAGATGAGAGCCATGGTGGACATGAGGATCCCGAACACCAGGATAGCATTGACAGGGACTTTGGTGACAGGATTGACCCGTGCGAAGAAGGAGAAGAACAACCCGTCGTCTGCCATGGCGTACACAATCCGAGGGAGGGAGAAGAGATTACAGAGCAGCACAGTGTTCATGGCTAGAAATAGAAAGAGAGAGTCAATATCAGAACTGTAGTCAAAATATAGCACTGTTCAGGCTATACTACTTCCAGAAATGAATCATCATTTGTATCAGGTCTTAATGGTAAGGGTAGAAATAGGGACAGCCAACAGCAAAACATGCAACCCAGTAAGACCTTATACCAGACAATGCTTCATGCGGAATTCACTCGTTTGTGCCCAGGCATTTGTTTGAGCGACAATGGCAAAGAAAATTGTGTCTGTTGTGGGATGAAATGTCTAACTAGTTAATGTGTAAATAAGTTAAACTCAAGAACAACCAGATTCAAGTGAATAAAAAACAAAAAGGAAATATGTGAAGTGTTGGGAAAGAAAGTATCCCGGCATGTTGAAGCTTCACTGAAAATGACACGGCTAAGCTGCTCTACTCTGCTTTTGTATACCAGGAACTGTGACTCAAACTGTAAACTGTTACTCAATATATGAGTTGACTAAAATGGCAACCATTTATTCATTTCCGACCACTAGCTAAGGCCTGGTTGCACTTTTAAAAGTAAGACTTGAGCCCTCTTTGTGTTATTACACCTAATCAAACAGCAATTTACCCTCTCCGTTAAAAGTTGACACTCACCGCAGATGGAACCAATTGCCACGATAATTCCAGCCCAACTGTAACCCCGGCGGAAGAAGGCATCTGCCAGAGCTGAGTTTGGGTCCAGTGAATGCCAGGGTACCATTAGTGTGAGCACGGTGGAGACCAGGATGTAAGCTGCTGCTGCCAGTCCCAGGGAGATGGCAGTGGCAATGGGAACTGCTTTCTGTGGGTTCTTGGCCTCCTCACTTGAAGATGCAATTACATCGAAGCCCACAAATGCGTAGAAGCACGTAGCCGAGCCTGCCAGTATTCCAGATAGCCCGAAAGGTGCAAACCCTCCTTCTTTCGCGCTCCAATTGGCTGGTTCAGCCAGCATAAAGCCAAATACCAGGATGAAAATGATGACAGCCATGCTAATAACGGAAAATATATGGTTTAAGTAAGAGGACACTTTAACTCCAAAGGAAATGAAGAACGAGGCAACTATGAGAATCCCTGCTGCAAGGAGGTCCGGGTAATGGGCCAGGAAGGGCACGTTCCACTGCATGATGTGTGTCTCTGTGAAGTTCTGGATGGAGTGGTTAAAAATGGAGTCCAGATAGCCACTCCAGGCACGTGCCACAGCAGCACCACCAATCATGTTCTCCAAAATCACATTCCAACCAATGAGAAAGGCCCAGATCTCTCCCACGGACACATAGGTAAACATGTAGGCAGATCCTGTTTTGGGAATGCGTGCTCCAAACTCTGCGTAGCAAAATGCGGCCAGTAGTGAAGCAAAACCTGCAAAAATGAAGGATACGATGACAGCGGGCCCAACCATGTCTTTAGCCACAGTTCCTGTCAGGACATACAGCCCAGAGCCCACCATGCCCCCGACTCCCAACAGAGTCAGGTCCAGGGTGGAGAGGCAGCGTTTCAGCGACGTGGCCATCATGTCATCATCCAGTGTCTTGAGTCGGTTCAGTTTCTGACAAAGGCGCACCGCTGGGGAGCAGCCTCTCGGAAAAGTTGCCATGGCTACAGAGTTAGGGAGGCCAGTTGGGCAGGAAGGTGTTGAAACAGTCAGATTAGATCTGGGACCTGTCCATCAAGCGTACCTGCAACACAAAGCACAAATGTTTGTATAAGAACAGGAAAAACATCTGCAGGTGTTTGTGTTAACCTACATACTGTGTATTCTACACATTTGAGATCACTTTAGGAAACACAGAAATATAATCATTCCACTTTAGGTATATTGACCATACTGTTTCATTCACATATGAAGTGTATGGCTTTGCTATGAAATAAAGTAAAAGGAAACTAATCCTACAACTCAATACATAGGCTAGTCTATCAGGCTGTTCACCACACTTTAGATGATCGATCTTAACTAGATGTAGGCACTGTGGCCTGCAGGTGCATGTGTGGCACGGGCCATCACTGAGGCCAGTCCACGTCATCTTCCCGTGAGCTGATGTGTAAAAACACAGCCTAAAATACTGCCAACAATGTCTTTGGGTTGTATTTTTATCAGTGAATCCACACATTCATCCTCTTGTTCTGGGCGGTGCATCATCCGACTCCTGCCCTGGATAGGCATATGGCGACAACAGGACGCCTCCTCTACAATTACGTAACGCTTTATTCCCCACTAGAAATAAATCCCCCCCGTCATAAACAACAATAATCGTCTACACTCTCCAGTATATCCATGACCACATTATGTACTGTGGAGAGAATAGCAGACGAATATAATAGGCGTCGTTATAAGGCCAAATTAATAATTTAAAACAAAATGGAAACGGACGCTAAAGAGGATCGGTAGACTTCCTCTATCCTGGATGCTTTAGATATGGGATATCGCACTCTTAATTCACCCATGAGCAGGTGTCATTATCTTAATTATTTAATTTACATGAAGAAAACAGTCATTAATAACATAGGAAATGCTTTCATCACTTTACCGTTGTTGTTCAGGCTCTGTCATCTGTGCTGCAGGTCCGGAGCTGTGAGAAGTTGCCGGGGTGCATCGCCTGATGATGGAGCAGAAGGTGCGACGAGGAATAAACCCAACATGCACCGCCTGGGCTCTTCTTAAAGGCACAGTCAACTTTATACTCACAGGGCTTCCCCACTGCGCCCCACCCGTGTTACAGCAGCATGGGAGCACATCCGCCCAGAGGGGGTTCCCGGACCCTGACTACTAATGTGCAGTAGATATATTAAACATGTTTATCCTATGCTGTAATTATGTAACGGCCAGGCAGCATAGGTAATAACTGTTAACTGTATTTACCTACTTTAAGTGACCAGGAATCAGGTTTATTACCAAGTAGGTTTTTATGTTCATGATTTTTATTCCATATTTCATTCCATTGCAATGTAAATACTGTTTTATATTTTACTATATTTTTGTACTATTTTAAATATTTTTCTAGTTCTCTACCTGTGCTTTTAATTCTTGTTTTACTTTTATGTATGCACCACAACACTAAGTCAAATTCCTCGTACTTGTAAACCTACCTGGTAATAAACCTGTTTCTGATTCTGATATACAAGCATTAGTGCATAACATAAACATAATAAGAAAGATTATTTACAAATTAAAATCTAGGAGCCCTACAATAAAGACACATTAGTATAGAATAGAAACGTATTTTAACCAAAAAAGGAGCCTGTATATGGGATCATAAGTATCTTCAATTTGGTAGGTACTAAGAAAATGAACATTAGGATATAAATGGAGTCCTGCTGTTGGACCTGGTCACCTTAGCAGCAGCAAGCAGGGCCTCTATGGTTCACATATGATGTTAATGGATATAATGAAGAAATTATAGTCCAGGTGGGATGAAATCAACACATTTGATTGAATCCATCTCAGTTGGACAGACCGGGCCTTGTTTTGTGTCAGTTTTCTTTTCTTTTTTCTGTTTCTCCCTAGGTGAACAGGTGCACGTTTTAATTGGCTCTACATTAATTAGTGAGCAGTGGCAGGGTGCCAGTTAAATAATTTGGAACCCAGTTGTACACAAATTACTGAAAGAGATTGACGATAACAGACTTAGACTCTGTTGAAATGTTTACAGAAGAAGACAAAGACAATTTGAGTGACTTTTAAAATATGTGTTTTATGAAAAAATACTTAAGTAAGGACAAATAAACACTTACATGTGTTTACTGATACCATCCATACTGTTCTTGTTCATAAACACATCATATCATGAATTCAATTGTTCATCGTTGAAAACATTAGCCAACACTGACCTTAAAAAAATCTATATAAATAAGAAGGGGGTTAACTCACCCTAGTAACAACGCAACTTAAAAAAGAGAAACATTAAAACAAATATATTATGTGAAATAAGGTAGCAAAATTGCAAAAATATCAGAAACAAAATGAAGGAACTGTATTACAATACTGTTCAAATAAATAAACAATAAAGTGTTCAAAACACTGTCACTTGATACAAAGGTATCATCCGGCCCTTATGGAGCGTTTCACTGTTGAAAGGTCAAATCAATTATCCCAGGTGCCGCAATTTCTGTGTCCTTAAGTTACACATTGATGCTCAACTATATCATTTCTGGCAATCTGCTTCATCAACATTTGGCTTGAATATGTATACACTAGGTCTGTAAAGGAATTGGAACACATCAACTTCCTAATTTCACGATGTGTGACATGGCAGATAAGTGCTTAACAATTTGATGTTCTTCACCACCTGCTACTGCTCTCTTCCCAGGTCTGCAATCATCTCACCCTCGAGAACCAGTCGTCTTCTACAGGTTCTGATGGTGATTACAACCCTTATAACAACAAGTGATAAACATGTTGTTAAAGAGCACAATGCAATTTGTCGACCATTGTTAAATCTCACTGGACTGTGAGCATATGTAGTCAGTGGCCTTTGCATGAAATTTTCAGCCACCTCTTTTGGCAAAATTAGGCCTCTTTTTCAAGGGATTCAATATTGTGACTCCTTTTGTTGAAGCTTGAGGATCAATTCAAGTAGATTCATCTGCATTGTCAGCTCCTGAAATAACACATAAGAGTTTAAAAGAGTAAATCAGGACATATATCGCCATCTGCTGGACATTTGCTGCATCATAAAGAGCAAGTTTTCAATGCTACACTACCGTAGTATGCTTTTTATCTGCATTGAGTATAGACATTAACCTGAGGATTGGTGGTGATAAAAAATCCAGGGACTCCCGCCTTCTCCAAGGTGTTCTGCTGGTCTATCACTTTCTGATCCATTTCTGCTACAATCTTTTTATCCATCACCCGTTGTTCCTCTCGCACCCGAATTTCCAGAGCCTGATAACAAAACACAAAACTAAGTAAAACAATCATAAAATAGCAAATACCATAGTCCTTTCAGTACTCAGAGGAATCAGGGTAATGCCTTACCTCTAGCTCTGCTTGCTGGTTAGATTTCAGAAGCGTGAGGTTGTGAGACTTGCATGTCTGCAGAGCATCCTTGTGTTTTCGTAGAAGGTCTTGTTTGAATGCTACAAACGAAAAAAACAACAACTAACATTTACTATTAAAATGATACACTTAGGACCAGTTCATTGAAGCATGTTTGTACTTGACATAGTTTTGATTTGAGGGTACACAATTTGACATGCATCTCGTGATTTTCACTAAATTCCAAGCTGGTTTAATCTCGAAATGTATTTATATATCTGTCAAAAAACTAGTCCTTTAGCCAAAACCTGCAAAAGGACCTAAAAAGGCAAAAACTCAAACAAAGATCAGCTGTTAAAAATACCAATGGAGCAAGAACATACTGTTTGTCCTTTAGTTTACCTAGAAAAAATAAGAATCTGTCACTAAATTGAACAACTGCAGAACTCATGAAATGTGTTTATGCAATTGAAAAATATCTTAAAAAGGAGATACAAGCAAGATTTCAATTTCAAAGCTGGCTTATTAAAAAGTGTTTGGCTCAACCTCACCAATCACGCACCAACATTACTCAGCCAATCATGATTACAACTCTTCAGTCATTTCGCCTTTATTTCAAAATAAGAGCACACTTCTCCCCATGATAACTTTATCAAGGATTTACAAATCAATGCTTAAACTGCTTTTAAAGAATCAAATTGCCTGGATGAAAAAAAAATAAGATTATTATTTTAGCCTGAAATATGTTTGTTATTATATAAAGCTACATTTGGAGAACAGGGTTTTGTATATATTTTATTATCCAGGGTACAGGCATAAACTTGCTTCTTGGAGCAGGCCTCATCAGTAACAGCATGTTTTCTTAGAGAGAAAGGTAGAGCACTCACCTTGGCGTTCACTGTGCAGCTTTTGCCTCTGGGTGTACAGATTTTTCTCTGTAAGGTGCTGAATATCCAGCAGCCCCTGAACAATCTCATAGACCGTCCCATCGATGAGAGCCAGAGCCAGGTCACCCAGCGTGCTGTAGGACAGCCGCTGCTGGAAGGAGCTAGCCAAGGAGAAAAACAATTACAAACATCAAGATGTAGTTTTATATCGCCCCTCAGACTGAAAGTGACATCTGAGTTGGTTGAAGGAAATCTCCCTTGAAGGTAAGTTACCTTGGTAAATCTTTAACTAAGGTTTGCAGTTCAGATAACAGGTAGTAATGTCTTTCTTGGTGTTTTGCAGGATCGCCGTCAGTGACTCCGGGATAAACATCCATCTCCTTAACTGCATGAATGAACATATACACACATTCAGCTAATGTAAAAGCTGGCTGAATTTATCCTACCAGTTTTGGTTAATTTAACTATTTTATCACAGAAACCGGTATGTAAGTTGTCTTTAGGAGACTAACGTACATATGACTATGTTCGTACGTTAACAAAAACCGGTTAAAGTTACCCAAAAAATAGGATAAGTGAGTGTTTGTATTAGCATGGATGTAGCTCATGTAGCTTCCTTTCAAATTTAGAAGAGGACCCCAATTGCTGTCTGTCAAGATGCCTGTCTGTAAAGACGTCTGCAGTAGCTCAATGTGTCCACCAGGTGGCTCATTGTATCACAGAAGGGACGCTCATGAGGACAGACACCTCCAAGGTAAAACCATACATATACAGATATTATAAATTAGCACGACAGCGTATCTTTAAATGCAATAACCTCAATTAGAATATGATTGTGAACGAGGTGAGGTATGAAAACGTAATTTCTAGAGCTGCAGTTTATTCGTTCATATTTATTTCAGAATGGACATTTCCGACGATTCAACCATGTGGCTGGTTTGAAAGGCAACCAGTAGGAAAACAGTCCAGCTGCCCACACTGTGGCCACTGTGCTCAACCACAGACTGTAAAGGGTTCAACCACAGACTGTCTAACCTGCTGTGCTCACTGTCACTGACTGACTGACTGGTTGCTGCATGCGCGCCTGGGTCGCGCGCTACTGGTGGGCTGTGCGCTGTCACGCGCCGAAGGTGCCGTGAAATGAAGAAAACTCACTTGCGGAGGGGAAGAGCAGTATTTATAAGAGCTCGTATGGGAACATAGGGGAGATTGGACCATTAGACCACTCGACTGAAAATGGCCAGAAACACATCTCTCTATTTTAGAATTGTCGAGGGCAGGAACCTCCCGGCCAAAGACGTGTAAGTAATTTCTGAATGGCATGTGCTTCTGTGGTCAAGTCTTATCTCTCACAATATACAGCTTTAACATTGTCTAACAGAAGCGTATCATTTTAATTGGACAAGAAAAAAGTTTGTCTGCTGTAAATTAGATACATTGAAGGAAGTAAAGACAACGTAAAAGGAAATTAAGCAAATTATCTCATGTTGTCATAATCTTTTTCTTGTCATTTTAAGCTCCGGAACCAGTGATCCATACTGCATTGTAAAAGTAGATAATGAAGTTGTGGCCAGGTGAGTTCTCTCTGATTATAAATAAAGATGTGCATAAGAAATAAACTTTGATACAGAGTCACAGCTGGAGGAAATATATTACCTACAGTCTATGTGTCCATATTTGAATATCTTTCATCACAGTTGGGATATGTGCAGTTGTTAATTTTTGGCTGGTCTCCTGCTACTCTGCATATGTAAACCCGGGTGCAGTGTGTATGATCAGGGTGGTGGTGCCCACAGCGTGACTCCTCCACCACAGAGAACCTGATACTGGTGTGGCCTTTAAAACACCCGCAGGTAACCATGGAGAGGCTGCATCAATTATTGCAGGGAGCTCCTGTAAGCAAGGAGAATGCTGGGAGCTGGTTCAGAGGTGATCCTCAGTGTGAGCGCAAAAATACAGATGATTTAATCCTCCAAAGTAGAGAAAATGATTATTGCCTGTTTTTTTTTTTTAAATGTTTGCTGTGTGCAAGAACATGGGGTGAATTCATTACATTACATTTCATTTAGCTGACGCTTTTATCCAAAGCGACTTACAATAAGTGCATTCGACCAAGAAGATACAAACTTGAAGAAAACAGAATCATATAAGTACATTAGGTTTCATAGAGCCAAACAATTTCAAGTGCTACTCAACAGGCTTTAGATAAGCCAGTCCTTTGTTAATATATAAGTGCTTTGTTAGTATGTAAGTGCTTAGTTATAAGTACTTAGTTAGTATCTAAGTTAATTATTATTATTATTTTATTTTTCATTTTATTGCTCGAAGTGGAGTCGAAAGAGATGAGTTTTAAGTCTGCACCGGAAGATGTGTAAGCTTTCTGCTGTCCTGATGTCAATGGGGAGCTCATTCCACCATTTTGGAGCCAGGATAGCAAACCGACGTGTTTTTGCTGATGGGAACTTGGGTCCCCCTCGCAGTGAGGGTGCAGCGAGTCGTTTGGCTGATGCAGACCGGAGTGCACGTGCTGGGGTGTATAGTTTAACCATGTCCTGGATGTAGGAAGGGCCCGAACCATTCACAGCATGGCACGCAAGTACCAGTGTCTTGAAGTGGATTATAGCAGTTACTGGAAGCCAGTGAAGGGAGCGGAGGAGCGGTGTGGTGTGGGAGAATTTAGGAAGGTTGAAGACCAGACGAGCTGCTGCATTCTGGATGAGCTGCAGAGGTCGGATGGCACATGCAGGTAGACCAGCCAGGAGGGAGTTGCAGTAGTCTAGGCGTGAGATGACGAGAGCCTGGACCAGAAGCTGCGTCGCTTTCTGGGTCAGGTGGGGACGCGTGTATCTGCAGCAGCGGGTTGTTGCAGCGATGTTTGCAGTGAAGGACAGTTTGTTATCTAGGGTCACACCCAGATTTCTTGCAGTCTGAGTCGGGGAAACAACAGAGGGGCCGATGTTGATTGTTAGGTCAAGAGTGGGACAATCTTTTCCCGGAAGAAAAAGCAGTTCAGTCTTGTCAAGATTGAGCTTGAGACATCCACTGAGAGATGTCTGCTAGACAAGCAGAGATGCGTGCGACGACCTGGGTTTCAGAACGGGGAAAAGACCAAATTAATTGAGTGTCGTCAGCGTAGCAATGGTATGAAAAACCATGCGGGCTAATGACAGTTCAGAGCGAGTTTGTGTACAGAGAGAAGAGGAGGGGACCAAGGACAGAGCCCTGAGGGACCCCTGTAGATAATTGACAAGGGTCGGACTCTGACCCTCTCCAAGTTACCCTGTAGGTACGGTCATTGAGGTATGAGGTGAGGAGGGAAAGTGCAGAGCCTGAAACTCCAAGTTCTTGGAAAGTGCGAAGGAGGATCTGATGGTTCACCGTGTCGAATGCAGCAGACAGGTCCAAAAGGATGATGACAGAGGAGAGGGAGGCTGCTTTAGCAGTGTGCAGTTCCTCAGAGACAGCAAGGAGAGCAGTTTTTGTGGAGTGACCTGCATTGAAACCAGACTGGTGCGGATCAAGAAGGTTGTTCTGATGGAGATAACAGGAGAGTTGTTTAAAGACAGCGCGTTCAAGTGTTTTAGACAGGAACGGGAGGAGAGAGACAGGCCTGTAGTTTATAACATCAGACGGGTTGAGAGTGGGTTTCTTTAGGAGAGGGTTTGCTCTTACCTCCTTGAGACTGTTTGGAAAGTGACCAGAAGTTAGAGAAGTATTGATGAAATGGGTGAGAAACGGTAGAATATCAGGAGCGATAGTCTGAAGGAGGTTTGAGGGGATGGGTCCAGAGGACAGGTGGTAGGACGGGCAGAGGTAATGAGGGTAAGAACCTCACTTGAAGAGAGAGAGGGGAAAAGGAGGTTAGTGTGTGGGTGAACGGTGGGACTGGTGACCCAGTGGTGACTAATGGTGAGTCGGAATTCAGTGGCTATTGTTCCATCTGGTATGTTAGGGAGAACGGCACAATGATTCACTGCAGACACTCTCACTAATTATCTGGTTCTTGTAGTGTTACTGGCCAACTGACTCCTCCAGTGTGATGTCCATGGCTGACGTAGCTGGGAAATTGTGGTGGGAAATAATGGGTTCACTTCACGCTTAGAGACAGAAAGGTTTATTATAAGGAAACTGTTCTTAGGAGTATTCTTTGAAATCTTTCGAAACTATTAACAATAAATGTATGAATGGTACAATACTAAAGCGTTACCTTTTTGATCCCTTTCTTAAGTGTAATGAAACCTGTTTTACCAATTGGAAAAAATAAATAAATAAAATCATAATCTTAAATGGTAACTATTCAAACCTTCAGTAATTAACCTTTTTTGATACTTCGTGTTATGGACACATTTCAATTGAAATCAAACTGTATTAAAGTTTAACAGAGCCCTGCTTTGTCTTCATAGGAGAATTGTTGCTTTAATAGCCCTTGTAAAAAAACATAAAGAGCTACCCAGAACGCTTACTGAAACCTACCTGGAGCCCATCAACAACATATTAAGCTTGATGCAGGGAATCCTAACCTTTTTACTCTAAAATCCCTCAAAGACGAGCAATGCCTGTTTGCACAAAGCATGTGAGCAGATCCAGCAGACTTTTTATTAAGGGGCTTAAACAACTAAAACTACCTAGTATATCATACAAAATGAAAAATGTTGACCGATACATAAAAGGCAGACATGTTATTCATTTTTCTCCTTGCTGTTTTATCATCTTCAAATCCCAGTATTTTCTTTAACATAATTGAAAGCACAACTGTTTGTTCTCAGGTTACTTATGAAGTCATAAACTGGGGCTTATGATGCTGCCACCATTTATTTTCTCCTGTATTTACTGTTTTCTATTTTTGCATACATTCATGTGATATTTTCTGCCTTAGGGTCTGGTTAACAAGCATGTGGAACCTCTCTTTTCAGGACCGCCACAGTGTGGAAGAACCTCAGTCCTTTCTGGGGGGAGGAGTACACGCTGCACCTCCCCATGGGCTTCCACTCGCTCTCCTTTCATGTCATGGACGAGGACACGATTGGGTAACACTGCCATCCAATGCTTTATCAAAATGTTCCCATATTTAACCGTTACTCTTCAGTTTGCGAGGAGATTTATGATCCTCCAAGCCATGTCTGTTTGCTTAACTTGGCATGAATGAGCCAGCATTAACCTCATGTACAGTGTAATGTTTTGGAAAAAAAACTCCTAAGCTTTGCATAAACAAACATCATCAGGCAGATGGCCGTCCAGATTGAGTGATTAAAGGTTGTTTTTTTCTCTTCTCCTCTTATGACTGTCAGTACTCTACAGTCTGTCCTCAAATTCACCTCATACAACTTTGATAGTATTTCCAATATCTTCTATCTGGTAATCTCTTGTTTTCCCTGCAGCCACGATGATGTTATTGGAAAGATAACGTTGAGCAAAGAAGCCATTGGATCTCAAGCTAAAGGTATGACTTAACAGATCTGTATATGGATGGGTGCATGACCCAAGCTCATAGGTTAAACACACACGGCTTCACATGACCTGATCAGAGGTCAGAGTGATTGAGGAGACATTTTAAAACGGAGACTCTGGGAATCGGTGTCTCAGTGCTTTCTCACACATTTCATTTGATTTGCTTACATTTATATGAGAGTGGGGTTGTGTAAACTTGCAGGCAATAAAATCAGCATTCAAATTGATGCATAAAATATTATAATGGCTCTCCAGGTGCTTGTCCACATGAACTCTGTTTTTTTTTTAAATTGTGAATTACAAACCATCCTTTTGTGCAAAAGCCTGCAGCGCTGTGAAATGAGGAAAACAACCAAAGCATTTCAAATGACTTCAAACACTTTAATGTGCTCTCTCACAGAGGCTCTTGCATTCAAGGATTTAGTCACAGTGTTTACCTCAGCATGAACCCTAGCACTTTCTTGAAGACATACGGCATTTAAAATACGGTATGTCGAGATGTTGTTGTTTTTGTATGAAATAGCTCGAAGTGTTTACCATGGTATGTGTGCTGCATACTGATGCGTCCTCCTGAGAGCCACCTGGCGCGGCCATCACTCGTGTGATTCACTGCTACACTGAGTCAGATACTCCCTCACAGCAATGCTCTCACTGTCCGGCCTTGACATTGTTCCATCCCTTATGTGAGATATTTCTGAAATAATCAAAAAGAACATTGAAAGTGACAGGACTGACAAAACAATATCACATAATTTACAGACCATCAAGAACCGCACAATGCTCTTTAAAATGTAAGAATCTATTTTTTTTTATGGTTTCCTTGTGCATTCAGTTCAGTTCAAGTTGTTCCCTCCATCAACACTCTTTAGAATGCTCACTTTAGTATTGAGTAATCAAAAGAAAGATACAAAAATCAGCCACATCAGGGGATTTGAAAGCATAGTAAAATGATGTTATTCACTATTTTTGACTTGGCTCTAAAGCAATGGTTGATCAATACATTTTTCAGAACAGAAAAAAAACTATTATTTGTTAATAAAAATGTGCATTTTACATGTCCTTAAGTCACTTATATCCAAAACGACTTGCATACACTTGCATCGTTAGTTTATGTGTTTATGATGCTCTCTTCATGTTGTGGGAAGTGTTGTATTAATGAAATAATTCTCTTTGCTCAGGACTAGATTGCTGGCTGAACCTGACGAGGGTGGACCCTGATGAAGAAGTCCAGGGAGAGATCCACCTGAGTCTGGAGCTCCTGAAAGATACAGAGAAGATCAGCCTGCGATGTCAAGTCATTGAAGCCCGGTAACTGTAAAATACTGCCACTGCTGTGATGAAAACAAGCGACAGGCTAAACATCAGAGTAGCATGCGTTTGACCAGAAGGAAAGACTCAGAGCAAGAGCTAATGTAGTTTAAAGTTGAATAAACTGGTCATCAATCAGAAGTTACATTACTGGAGCTGAAACCTGTTAGTGTCATCGCTGCTTCTGTGCTGAAATCTTATCACGATCACTCCGCAGGCCTCCACACTCCCCTCCTGAGTCATACTGCCACTATCACACCCCTCACTGCCCCATCTGTGTGTCCCCGGCTACAATCTCCTCCTCTCAGGCCGGGCGCTAATGAACATGTCAATCAGAGCCCGACACTGTGTTATTCAAACATGCTCAGATGAATGTGAATAGTTTGAAGGTATAAGGTCAAGTGGGAAAGCTGTTTCTTTTTCTTTAGTCAGTCATTTATGTGGCAGAACATGTAATCTGAGTGTATTGATCAGCTCTGTTGTTATTGGTCTGGTTTCATCTGCAGAGACTTGGCTCCAAGAGACATTTCTGGAACCTCGGATCCATTTACAAGAGTTATTTTCAACAACCACAGTGCAGAGACCTCTGTGAGTTCTACATGTTTGTGTTTGTGTGTTTATAATGTATTGGTTTTAATGGAGCCACATTATCTGCTATTGTAATTGATGGTTATTTGATTGTCATTGCCATTTGATTTCAAATTGGTATTCACATGTAAGGTTGAAAGGTTCTCTAACACCACAACCTGCTGGGATTTAGATTATCAAGAAGACCCGTTTCCCTCACTGGGGAGAGACCCTGGAGCTGGAGTTGGATCCGGAGGAGCTGAGGGAGGAGGGGACGGTCACTGTGGAGGTCTGGGACTGGGACATGGTGGGCAGGAATGACTTCCTAGGAAAGGTGAGACTGCTGTTATTATCATAGTATTGCATATTCATAGATTTCATATTATGATAACTTCATCGTCTTTCCCATATTATTATTCCGTCTGATATTTTATCCTTCAGGTGGAAATCCCTTTTGCTTGTTTGCACAAAACACCTCCATTAGAGGGCTGGTTTCGATTGCTTCCCTTGGGAAACAATGAGGTTGATGCTGGGTGAGAAGTATGGGTGTGTTTGTTTGTCCAATGTGGTTTACATTGTATGTTTGTATAACTGAGACAAGCTTTTTGCTTTTGGAACTTTTTAACTTTTGGAACTGAGCAACAATACATTTTTTATAATGCACTCAAGGAAAGTGTTGGTTCCCCCTCTGTGCTTTCTTTCATGCATTTTAAAGTGGACCTATCATGCTATATTTAAATGATATATTGTAGGGCCATACCTATATAAGGTATATTTATACGTTTCTGTTTTCAAAATACCAAACAGATCATGCATTTTAGCCATGCCTCATTTCGCTCTATATGCTGTTTGCTGTCTACGGGGCTGATTCTGTGAGCTGCAGCTGACCACGCCCCCCTGCAGGAGAGGGGAGCCGTGCTCTGATCAAGTCAAGAGGGGGAGAAAAAAAGATCTCAGTCCTCCGTGTTTTATTATATTATTATAGGCCTCTTGAGTCGTTATTCATTTGTTTTAAAGCTCAATAAATAACAAAGAAGACCTTTGACCGGCACTTTTCTAATTTTGTCCGGAAGATTTAAACTTTAACGGACATCTTGACCGGCGAAAGAAACTGAAACTGAAACTCTGCCGCACGGTCCCCTCGTTCCTTGGAAGAGGCGGAGAGGTGGGTGTTTGTCATCTGCTGGTGGACTAACCGGAGAGAATTACAGTGCTTGCCTCGACGAGGAGGGATTGCATTGAATTACAGCAGCAGGAGCAAACGCTTGCCTCGGGGAGGGAGAAAAAAAGCCACAGCGGAGAATAAACAGAAGGGTAACCATGGCAACTATGGGCGGGAAGTCTTCTTCGCTGCTTTTGTGGCAGACTACAGCGCCACTTACAGGCCTGGCATATGTACTACAGCGTCTCCAGCGCTTTCGAGCGGCAATGGCCGGCCGTGGCCCAACCCCACATTCCCCTGATAGGTGGAGAGTTGGCCCAATAGCCGTAGCGCCACTTCTGTGACGTCAGTGAAGTGTTCAAATCTGGATCAGTTTTTATCAGATCCGTTAAAGCCCCTTTTTTAGAGATTTGGGTATGGAGGAAAATAGAGAGGGTTGTGTTTTCTGACACTTGGTGAGTTCCCTGGAACACCGGGGACACATATTCATGTATAAAAGACGTACAAAAGTGCATTTTGCATGATAGGTCCCCTTTAAATGAGCTTTCACAGGTGTACAGCCAGGACTCTGACAGCATTTGTTCTTTGAGATAATTTTAGATCAAAGAAAGCTGAGTGATCTGCCAAACTGTCAGAGAGGTTCATTTGAAAATGACTCAGAGTTAGAGGGTTTTTATTGAGTGGAGAACACTGCTGAGTAGAAGATGGATATAGATTTACTTTCTAAAGTAATGTCAATGCAAGAGCTATTCCCTGGCATTATCTGTTAAAGCTATACCTTTTTAAAAGTTTTCTTTAACTCCTTAATATACAATGTCATTCCTCCATCGGTAACACTGTTAAAAGATGTACCAGACATCAGACATTTATCACACCCTCAGTATCACTATTAACTATTTTTTTTTTTATATCAGTGCTTTAACCTACAATAATAACTACAATTACAAAGGAATTATATGAAATTATACTCAAATCTGTGGTTTTCACCCTTCATATGACATAGCACATTCTTTTTGAGAATATATTTAGCTTACTTCATGATAAGATCAGCGCGTGCAGGAAATATCTTTTTTTAATTCTGTGGTATCTATGCTCTGTTGCCAGTGGCAAGCTGGGAGCGCTGCGTCTGAAGGTGCGTCTGGTGGAGGATCGGATCCTGCCGTCTGTGTACTACCAGCCCCTGATTGACCTTCTGGTGGAGTCAGTCATCTCCCCTACAGAGGTCAACGTCGCCATGTTTCTACAAATATCTTTTACCATTTATTATTGTAACTACCCCACTGCTAGTTCACTTACTTGTATAATGCTGCTCCTTAGACTTATTTGGTTTTCTATCGTGTGTGCTTGGCTCTATTATTGAATATGTTAGCATACTTATGTTTGCCTTTTTATCTGCACTGTCCATTTGCTGCTGCTGTAACATTTATTGTGATATGCATTTTACTCCACCTAAATCAGTGTTGGCTTTCAGACTCTTGGTTGATGTCAGTAGTATCGTGACCCGAGTCCTCTCTCTGCAGGTGGAGGACAGCAGCGCTCTGACCATGCTGGAGGAGGTGAACACGGTGGAAAGCCGTCAGGATGTGGCGATGACTCTGGTGAAGATCTACCTGGGCCAGGGCCTGGTGGTGCCATTCCTGGATTACCTCAACACCCGGGAGGTCAACAACACCAGTAAGATTAAAGGCACAACATCAGAACTATTTAAAATGTTAGGTTATTGACGGTCAGAACTAAGGATTTTGCAATATAAACTAATGCTACACATGTGAATATTATGTAAATAATCAACAGGTCTTAAACTAATTCTGGTTCTTTCTGTTCTTGCTTTGTCTCCCTACCCCAACACACCACAAAGAAATGTGTAATTAATTTGCCAAATAAGAGACAAAATGCACACAAATCAAAGTTAAAGATGGATTTAACTACAATACATAATATATATTTTTACTTTTTATAGATATTGCAACACTATGGTTATCTTTTGGCCACGATTGTTGTGTAGTTAAAGTCTGATTGTGACCGCACTTATCAGAGCCGTTAATAGGTATTTAGTAGATTTAATTGACAGATTTGTAAATTGAAATCCTCCCAAAAGAATCATGCAAAAGCTCCACTTCAAATGTTGTGTTTACCAGAGATATGTACTTTTTTAAAATAATTAATTCAGTGTGAAGAAAGCATAAAACATTTCTTAATCTTAGTCGACTAAGACCAAAACGACCAATTAGACGACTATTCAACTGAGAGGTGGCAGCCCTAATGGCTCCAGTGTGTAAACTGTAAAGTACTCTTATCACAAAGATAAAACATTTTGAATGCCTGCAAATATTTGTTCAAATCCTTTCTCATGTCAGAAAATGGATTAGATAATACCCAGTGTGTGTAAGAAGTGTATCTCTATTAGTCAGTATTTGTGTTAGTCAGAGTTATTGCTGCGCTCTCCAGCGACCTTCTGAGGGCTGCTTCTATTTAAACTCTGAATTGACATTAAGGTCTCAGAACATTCATGTTGTGTGTGTGGGCAGGTCATGTCTACCAGCACTGTATTTACTACCCTGAAGCCAATTATTTACCCACCCTACAGTCTTTTCATGGCTTCTCTGTGTGGTATGTATTAGTCATGTTTTTGCCTCCGCAAATCCCTGTCTCTAATTCTCACAGATTTGTTCTCCAGTCTTTGGGGTTCTGCTTAGTTTGTGTAGTTTGAGGTAATAAGCATAGTGCCCACGTTTCCATAGCAACTCCACATGATCCGGTTGGTAACTGCTTGATCAGGAATAGATGGCGCACGCAGCCAGACATTAAAGTTTGGCTCTGGGGTAAAGAAAAAGAATGCTCAAAAAGCTCTTTATTTTTCTCATACTGCCTGTGCTGCAGCCCAGTCTGCTCTGATTGGTTAGATGTCCCGCCCCTTCAACAAAAAACCTATATAACACACTACAGGAAAGGGAAAACCCCCCTAAGCATAATAGGGCCTCTTGAAAAGGATATAAGTGGGCTCTCTGTTTCTAAACTAGATCAATTCCTGGTAACGTACACAAAGAAAAGAAAGCATGAACATGCCTCATTAAAAGCCTGATAGTGAATTGATCCACGCGATGTATTTATAGGTTTTAGTGAATTAAATGAAGCACTACTAGTGATTTCAATCAAGCATGATTATGTCCCTAATGAGTATCTCCGTGAAAGCTTACAAGTTGCTTCATTGCACTCACTAGGAGCTATAAATACAGTGGTGGGATCCTTCTTTCTGTTTCTAAATATACATCAAGCATTAGGCAGCCAACAAAAGAGAGAATTAAGGATCATGTATTGACAGTCTGCAACACAGGCTTACACAAAGCAATGTTGTTGTTGTAATCGAGTCAAGTCATGCTACCCAGAACAAAACAATAGTACTAATGGCAGTGCACTGATTTAATTAGCATAAAAAGGAATGTAGTAGCAGCAACAAAAACAATGGGTAATTGTTTTTTTATTATCTCTTTTTCTGTTTGGTTCTTTTAGGTGATCCAAACACTTTATTTCGCTCCAACTCACTTTCCTCCAAAGCCATGGAACAGTTCATGAAGGTGTGTATCTCTCATCAAATTGTTTTAACATATCACTTTTTTATATTCTATTTCATTCAGGACCTTTACGTGATTGATTTATTCTGTCTCTTATGTGAGTGCAATCATAATCTGGCTGTTAATTATTTCTAACCTTTTAATAAATCTTTGCTATTTCCTTCCTCAACATTCCCTATCCCCTAACATGTACACTGAGTAGATACATCTCTAATGGTCCCCTTGCTGCATCACACTGTACCTTGTTTACTCTTTGTACGATGCACATTTACACATATAGAAGCACAGATGAGATGTTACTCGACATATGGTATGTTTCTGCTGTCAGGCTGTTGGCATGCTGTATCTGCACGAGGTGCTGAAGCCCATCATCAACCGCATCTTTGACGAGAAGAAGTACATTGAGCTGGACCCATGTAAGATCGACCTGAACCGCACGAGGTAAGAAAGACCTAAACATACTCCAGATCTGCTTCACATGGGCTTGTCTTAAGCCACAAATGCCTGTAGTTTACAATCTATGTGTTAAAATGGTCAAATAGAAAAGCTGCCACAGGAGACTGCCCACTACTTTACACTTCTCCCCAGGGAGGAAGACATCAATGTGAGAAATTGGAAAAGAGAGGAATGTAAAAAGGGGGGGAAGGCTGTTGCTTGGCAACTGCTTCGAGCCCCCTGAGATGTCTATCTCCGACATGGAGGGAGATCGAGGATCTAATGTGCTCCTTGTCTGCAGTGGACCTGCCTGCCATCACCTTGTTTTTTCCACTATGTTTATATATCTCCCCGTACATATTCAATTCAGCGCTTAATCTCACAGCAAGCTCTCACTATAATGACATCATCAGGAACAGAGGGGATAACAGTTATAGGCATTGTTATCTAGCCATAGCTATACACAAAACAAGGTGTTTGGATTGATCCTACTCTATCATTTTGTGACACAGGGTTTCAGTCATTTACACCATCTTTCTTTCTCCCTGAAGACGGATCTCATTCAAGGGTGCAGTGTCAGAGGCAGAGGTGCGGGACAGCAGTGTGGAGATGCTTCAGAGCTACTTAACCAGCATCATTGAATCAATCGTGGGCTCAGTCGATCAGTGTCCTCCTGTGATGAGAGTGGCCTTCAAACAGCTACACAAGAGAGTGGAGGAGCAATTTGCTGAACCTGAGAACGAGGTCAGTTTGGAGCAAAACAAAACAAGAATAAATACAGCTGTTGGTATTTTAATGTATCTGCATTGTTTATGTATTTGCCATCTAAACATTTAAAGGGGCCCTATAGAGTGCCACAGTGACGCGTCCTAAAACCCGGAAGTAAGGGTACTTTTATCATTTTTGAATCATAAATCGAATCGATAGATTTATGATTCGAAAGTTATAAAAGTAGGGTAGACATGTGGAGATTATCCGGCTGAACAAAACGTGATCTGTCTCTTCAATGTGTGTCAACCACAGACCTTATTTCGAGCTATTTTCCAAAATCCTATGGAGAAATTGCATTGGCTTTTGTCGAAGGAACCGGAAGGAGTTTACTTCCGGGTTTTAGGACGCGTCACTGTGGCACTCTATTAAGCTCATATTCAGGTTTCGTTATTGTATTTTGTGCCCCTAATGGGACATGTTTACATTTAATGTTTAAAAAGGTCTTTATTTTTCTCATCCTGCCTGTGCTGCAGCACCCCTTCTCACCCTCTGTCTGAAACCAGAGCCCAGTCTGCTCTGATTGGTTAGATCTGTTGTGATTGGTCAATCGCTTAGAGATGTCCCGCCCCTTAGCACGTACAATTTGTTGGAGCGCTACACAATAGAAGCGAGAGTGTTACATAGTGATGTCACTTTATGCACCAATATCTATATAACACAGGGCCGTAACAGGGCCTCTTTAAATGACTATTTCATGTTTTGTTTTCAGACACAGCTGTTAACTTTATTTTCTAACAGGATGTGAAGTATCTGGCCATCAGTGGGTTCTTTTTCCTGCGATTTTTTGCCCCTGCAATCCTCACACCTAAACTGTTCCAGCTGAGGGATCAGCACGCTGATACGCGTACAAGCAGAACGCTGCTACTGCTGGCCAAGGTACGATTCACAACGCAGACATACGCACAGACATGGCTATGAATAATTTATTCCAAACTTCGCACTTAATCACTGAAAAGAACCAAGTCGTAAAGTGGTGGATGCACTGGAAGCGAGGCCACATGCTGTCAGCGAACAGTGAGGGATTTCGATTTGCAAGTGTTCAACAAATAAATATGAAGCAGGAATGCAAAAGATGTTTGTACTGTACGTGCAGTCAGCATGCCAAAAACAGGAAATAAAGCGCTGAACTATTGTTTATCTTGTGAGCTAATTACATCACGCAGTTATTCGTCAGTTACTTTTAATTTAATATAAAAACTGTACTTCCTGGGGATTGAATTGGTGAACTATGAACATATAGAGGCAAGAATGCTCTAAAAATACCCTGTTTTCTATTCCTATAACATTGTTCAAGTATCCCAGAGGATGCAATTGATTTTTATTGTACACAGAATTAGATTTGTGACAACTCAATATAAAACACAGCACATCTTACACATTGCTTCATTACTACACCAAGTGTTTGGCGTGTTTCAGTGCCGTTGAGAAAAAAAAACTTTGAACAATAGCTTCTCACATTATGCCCCGCTCAAAAATCATGGTGAAATAGATCAAATTACAATTTTTTTGTATTTCCTTGTTCCTTTTCCACAATTGTCGCTAACATAAACTCCCTCCATTTGATTGAAAATGACTGTGTCATGGTCACATATTAGAAGGAAAGTGAAACCTTGTTTTTCTCACATGTGTGGGTTCTGTGGTTGCTGTCCATGGTGCTGAAGTGCTGTTGCCATGGGTCCTCTACAGTAAAAAGGGAACAGGCTATTTTTACCTCTGTGTGTGCTACAACCAGTCTGCGGTTCAAAGCCCAGCATCAGAGAGGAACCTCCTCCTCGCCCGGGGCCAGGTGTGGGCCGGACAAAGGGCCTCACAGCATGCTTGGCCCCCAGGCACCCTTTTGATCTCCCACTTTGAGAAATGCAGTCACTCATACTGAGTTCTAACGGTTAGTACGGATTTGATGTGCTGAAGATGCGAGTGTTGACTGTGTCTCTGTGGTCGCCAGGCATTGCAAAGTGTCGGGAACTTGGGCCTTCAGCTGGGTCACGGAAAGGAGCAGTGGATGGCGCCTCTACATCCCATAATCCTCCGCAGTGTGGCCTCCGTCAAAGACTTCCTCGACAAGTTGATCGACATAGATCATGACATCGGTAAGGCTGACGATAGTGAACACACCACTAAACCTAAATGGAAAGCATGTCATGCTGTTGGGCTGATCAGCCGCAGGCCAGCTGCTAGCGTGGCCGCTCACAGCTGATATTAAGATTAAGAAAAACAATACTGTAGTGGTGAAATATTCATAACTAGCTGGAAGACTAGACAAGAGATGACATGGTTAGTGAGCTGGCAGGGAGCTGGAGGGAGACGCCGGCAGGTGTTTGTACACGCCACACTGGTTATCCGACATGTCTGGGCGGCTTTCTTCTGTCAGTCAAGCTGTTGTTGTGAAACTTCTTCCCCCTCTGATGTATCGTGTTTCAGCCGCCTCCGGCACATCACACCCACTCTTTTCTCTTAAAGGCCAGTTTGACATTTAATGCTCTTCAGGTGGATTTGTTGGACAGAAGTGGACGCTTGTCACGCCTCTTTGAAGCCCTCTTTCATGTGGCGATGAAGGAGCAGGAGGCGACTTCAGAACAAAATGAAGTCTTGTACTGTAGTTTAACAATGAAACAGGCTCCGTTTGTTTATTGACGCAGCACCACCTTGTGTGGATCAACATGCCATTACATTGCAAAGTGTCCCTCTGCATTTATAACACTGTTTCCTTGATCTCACAGTGTCTGAGGTGCCACAGAGGGCTGTGTTCATGCCCTCGGTCACAGTTAAAGAGGGGTTCCTCCACAAACACAAGGCAGAGGGACCTCAACTGCTGTCCCGCTTTGCTTATAAGAAACGCTACTTCTGGTTAACCAGTGAGACGCTGTCCTACGCCAAGACGCCTGAGTGGCAGGTAGGTCCTAAGCCAGTATAGCATTATATTGTGTTTCTATATGTTTGTATAAACTTCATTAGATATTTTGACAAAAAGTATTTAAAATCATTTGGCTAAGTAGTGTTCTTAAATGTGTCTACTTCTGTGACACCTGGATCAAAACACAAGTGAAGTCTGCCAAATGACTGCCTATTTATTCTTCTTGTCTGAGACATAAGCTGCAAAAAGATAACGTCAACTTTGAGTTAAAGTCATGTGAAAGCGGCCCATCCATTCTTAGAAACTGATATGCACTCTGATGATGTATCAGTCCCCGTGTCTTCCCTTCTGAAGGATGTTTATCAACAAGGCTCATAGAAAAAGAGGAAACATCCCCGGGTTGCTTTATTGTATTTGTGTTCATCTCCTTGTGAGCACATCATTAGTGTTATTACCATGTGGGGCCTAACCTTGTGATAATGATCTCCTCTTATTCACCAGCCAGAGAGGGAGCAGGCTCTCTCTAAGCCCAGTAAAAAGCTCTCTCTTTGAGCCAGTCTCGGCTTTGTGTGACCAGGATAAAGGCGAGGGGTAATTGAAGGCTGTGGATATTCATGCTAACATTGCAAATCAGATTGAGGACAATGTCCTGGCCCCTTTCCTCAATGTTGGAGCACTCCAGTCTCAGTGAAACAAGCTCCCATTGGAAGTGGCTGATTTACACTTTAAAGTGGCCTTTCCTGCGACGCTCATCTCATCTTCCTCCTCGTATCACTCTGTTTCCCTTAGTGTAATGTGTGCAAAAAAAAAATCCTCTTTATTAGACACTGCCCTTTGATCAAATGTCACTTTTATTTCACGTGTACACCACAAGGCGAAAGCAAGATCCACCCATACCCTGCTGCATACTTACGTTAATTGGTGTGGTGGTTTGTGGCTGAATTGTTGCAGGTGCGCTCTTCAATCCCCATTCAGTGCGTGTGTGCCGTGGAGAGGGTGGATGAAAATGCCTTTCAGCAGCAGAATGTAATGCAGGTCATCACCCAGGACAACGAGGGACAGCTTCACACCATGTACATCCAGAGCAAGGTGTATTGGTACTGACACAAGTCAGACGCCAACAAAGTTCTTGACCGTTCTCAGTTGTTTGTGAAAATGTTTTTGTTTTTGTAAGATTTGGCACAGATTTAAAGGGGCCCTATTATGCTTCATATTTCTATTTTGTGCCTCTTCTGTGACGAAAAGATCTCTCTTTTCACCCTCTGCCTGAAACCAGAGCCCAATCTGCTCTGATTGGTTAAATGGCCGGCCCTGTTGTGATGTGTTGGAGCACTAGCCAATAAAAGCACAAGTGTCATTTGACTCCTTTGATTACTTCTGTAACATAGTGACATCACTATTTCACAGAAGTAATCAAAGGAGTCCAATGGAGGCATTTCAGGCAGGAGTGTGTGGGAGAGAAACTCCCTCTGGTGTGAACTTTGGGATTTTAACCTTTGCAGACCATTTACATGCACACAAACCTAAATAACACACTACAGGAAAGGGGAATCCCTAGAAAGCATAATAGGGCCTTCTGAAATAATTGTGTTTTTACACTACTTTGTTAACATGTGGCTGTGTCACAGTAACCCTTCAGATCAAATACAATGTTGCTAATAATGTATTTGCTGTAAAAAATTGAATAATCTTGCTCTTTAATTGATAGTTTAAGGTATAATCATGAACATTTATTTATTGACAATTTACTGTAATTGTTTAAGGATTATAAATTAATTACTTTTGGATAGTCACCTTTTCCTGCTTTGATTTCAGTATGACTTTAATAGACCACCAAGTTAATGGTGTCTTTGTGTCTGTGTAGAATGTGAATGAGCTGAACCAGTGGCTGTCGGCCATCAGGAAGGTCAGCATCTACAACGAGCGCATGCTGCCCTCCTTCCACCCGGGGGCTCATCGCAGCGGCAAGTGGACCTGCTGCCTGCAGGCGGACCGCGCTGGTAATCCTGCTTTCATGACTTCTTAAAGCCGCACACACTTTTTAATCCTTACTGTAGGATTTAGGATGTAGTGTAACTATCTAACCTATTTATGAATAACACCCAAGATGCCAGGAATTAACATCATCTCAGTGCAGTCCATCAATATGCACTAAGGAGCTTCACGCATGATTCCTGTTGCATCTGGTCTCAGAGTCCAATGAGCTCCTGGTGATCCATTTTTAATGAGTAAACCCTCAATTTGTAGCTGCCATGTTTTTGACAAAGGCTATTAACATAACAAATGTACACACTTGTTGTTCTGTGACACATGGGATGTCAATCTTTTGGTATCTCGATTTTGATTCTTCGGGACATTCGATTCAAATACAATTCTCTATTTATATCTATCTTTATCTAAACTTGCCAATTTCAAAATCAAGGTAAAAAAGAAATGGTGCTTAAAGAAATTATACTTTGACTTGCTTTGTAGGATCAGTGTCCATAGCAAGCAATATGATTATAAATAATAATAATAATAATAATATAAATGATGTACTAAGGGGAGTTCATATGTAGTGCATCACTGTTGAATAAAATGCCGGCTCTCAGTTACAGGCTGCAGTAAAACCCACTCCGCTGTGACTCTGGGGGACTGGAGTGACCCGCTGGATCCAGACGTCGAGACGCAGACCATATACAAGCAGCTGCTGCAGGGCAGAGACAAACTCAGGTCGGTGCAGAACACACTCTGGAAACATCCTTAGCCTGGGTGCAGTTCTCTTACTGTACACTAGAGGTCAATGTTGCACAAGAGTGCCCTGCTGCTGCTTAACAAAACATTCAAATGCATTACTGAAACTCTATGAAAACACTAATCAGCTTCAGCTTATATCATCTTTGGTGAATTCTGCAGGAAAAAATATTTGGAGATGCCAGATTCTCATCAGACGTCCAGCAGTAAAGAAAACATCAGCCCTGACATTCACCCAGGTGAGGCTGCATCAAAACCTTACATTATTCTGCCGTGGTGAAAGGATTTGTATGAATGTCTATGTCCTTGTGTTATCATCATGAGCATCGTACCCTCTCTGCCTCACAGATGGTGCAGAGTGCAACGTGCAGCTGATGAAGCCAGGTCAGAGCGCCGCCGCTCGGCTGTTGGCGGTGATAGACGACCTGGAGCAGGCTCACGCCACCTTCCAGCGCAGAGAGACAGAGGACAGCACCAGTGTCATTCTGAATCCCTAGACTCGACAAACACTGGGATCCACTACTAATCTTTGAAATGGGGGGGGGGGGGCAAGCATCCTGTAAAAATACCTGTGAACATAAAATATTCCCCCTTGTTTGTCAGGGAGTAAAAGTGGCCAGAGGCTGCAACCTCATCCAGATTTGTAGTACTTGCAGGAAAAAGCAGAGGGAATTCAGCCACTTTTAATCTTTTTAGTGCCACCAACTATAACAGTGCCGGAGAGAGATTATGATACTTGACAATAAAGGGGAGGGAGGGGGGATTTTGAGCATGATCTGATTATTTTTCATGTAGATAACAAGCAATCTCTTGCATGGCCTGCCTGCATCCACTTGTTGTGAAATGTGAAAAGAAGCTTTTATATTTTGAGATACTGTACAGGACCTCAGTCAGGGTCGCACATTTTTATGCAAAAAGCTTGTTGTTTTGTTATCTACAGTACCTGAATGTAATGTGTTTTGATATTGCTTTTATCAACGTTTTGTATTATATTGAGGCAATTTCTCACTTCAATAGCAGTGACATTTATCTAATCCCACCTTGAGTATATGAAATCCCGGTGCACATTTCAGAGTACACTGCCTGTACAAAATAATATTATTCCAATCGTTGCCGTGGTCCCTTTACACAAAACAATGTGCTTCTGTTTGGTGCTATGGTCAGACTTACATTGCATATTTAAAATGTCCATACCTTGATGTAGCCATTCCTGATGTCACAGGGGTATTATCTACAATATAATGTCCATACATATGACTGAGACGAAAGAAATAACAATTAAGTAAGATGATACCATTTGATAAGTTTACATTTCTTGAGATGTTGGCGCCACTATAAATGGCTCACATCTGTCAGGATTCGCTGAGATGCCAAATTTGTAAAATAACAATATTTGAACTACTCAAATAACGTAATTGTCTTAGAATATCTGTGAGTTGTAAAGCCATTTCCCGTAGAGGGACAGAGGTCTGTGAGTATAATGAAGATCATATCTGTGATCAACCAGAGAGTCATAAACAGGCCACCCTGCCCCTGGAGCTGTTTACATTATATTCTGGTAGTCCAGCTACTGTAGTGTCTGTCTTTCTTTTATAGGAGGGACAGTGCAATATTTACTTGTGGAGTAAACATTAAATGTGACATTTTAGTACTCATGCCAGACATGACAATCAATATTCTTTATCTAGACTAAACCAGAGGAACATCAGATGTCGCTTGTGAACTTGGTATTCCCTGAATGAGGGCTTTTATTCTGAAAAACATTACTGCTTGTACTTTATTTTTGTAAATGATGGTTTGTTCCAAGTGGATTGTTACTGTGAATTAAACACAACTGTATTATTAAGTAAACTATTATTTCAGCTAATACGTCTAGTGTCAAATTTGTACCCCAGAAAACTAAAAGGTTTACTTGAAGTTGGGTTAAAATTAAGGGCAGAAATAGTTCATTTGAAAAGAAAACATATTATTGTAATTTTCAGGTTCATATTTGTATTATTATGCCTAAACTGACATATTTACATGCTTTAGTGTTCAAAAAAGTATATTTTCTCATACTGCCTGTACCGCAGCACCTCTTTTCACCCTCTCTGAAACCAGAGCCCAGTCTGCTCTGTTTGGTTAGGGAGAGAAACTTTGGGATTGTAGCCTTTGCAGACCATTTACATGCACACAAACTTATATAACACACTACAGGAAAGGCTTAACCCTCAAAAGCATAATGAGGCCTCTTTTATTATCTAATGTTTTATCTTATGTTCATGCCTAACTGCAAGTCTCGACTTTTTTTTTTTTACGAAACTACGGTCCCAGGGCGGCTTCACAGTATCATAGCCACTACACTGCCCCTTTTAAATTAAATATTCAATCAAGCCTTCCCAACCACAGACTCTACAATCCAACAGGACTCAGAATCTAATGTTAAATGATGCCACACAAACAGTGTTTGCAGCCGTTCCTCCTCCTGGCCTTGTTTAAATGCTAATGAGAGCAGACGTATACCTGCAGTGATGCCGCAGAGTCTTCCTCTCATTAGCCATGAGAGGTGAGCGATGGGAGGAGGCGGGGCCGGGGGTTTAGGATCTGTTAGAAGACTGATCCCTGATCTGCAGGGTCATTTTATGGGAGGAAGAGGGTGTGTGAAGGGGAAGCTGATCTCCCACAGGCCTGCTTTAGTATGCATCAACCACAGCTCCTCACCACAGCACCAACATACAGCAGTCAGTGACAGAAAAGGACCATAAAGCTAATTTACTGCCAGTGAAAACCGTTTCCGCTGCACTCCTCAGCTCCAGCAAAGCTCATCTATAACCATATAAAGAGCAGGGAGTAGCCTGAAGAGAAGGAAATGGTGGAGCTAAATGACATGCCACCGAGTGGAGAAAATAACGAGGGGGGAGTCAAGGTGACAAAAGTTCAAACAAACTACCCTTATCCAGGGCACATTTATTTTTCCACAAGAAACACACAAACATGCAACAATGTCATCACAATTCAATAAAGACCGATAGATTAAGAAGCCCTTTATAGTTGAATCAATGTATCTTTATATCTTGCTTTGAATTGGTCTCTTTTCATCTTTGTGAACCATTTTAAATAGCAATATGTAGACACTGCTTCGGAGAAATCAAACCACAAAAACCATGATTTGCAAAATGTCAATTAAAATGGGCACTTCAAATGCAACACATTCGGATGTTTGAGATGTTAAAAGACTGAGGAGAGCAGCCAAACGCTGAGTCGTCCCCGTCTAAATCAAACCCGGTAGAGGAAATCAACTTGTATCTAAATGGAGTAAGATGCAAAACCACAGTGCTAAATCCCCAGAAGACCTGGGTGATATCTCTAAAGAAGCTATGATGTTTTCATACGCAAAAGCTATGCATTGTCAATAAACTTGCTCACAGTTTGGTTAACATGCACCTCTCGGAGAACATTACTGTATCTTTAAAAGGACATGAACCTCATTTCTGTTTACTAGACGCAAACTCGGCATACATTCACACACACACACTCGCACAAACAATCAGATACAAACACACAGTATATCCACTCAAAAATGTTAAGGTATCATTTAGAGAGACAGTTATAAGAGGGTACAACTGCAAATACTTCATATAATAAAAGTGATTACCACCTCTAATCAAAGTGAACATAGCATGGAATGAATCTTAAGAGTAATACAACAATGTTATGTTATAGTTCTTTTAGAGACAATCATAATTCAAAAAAAGACATCAAAAATATATGTTTTCTAGTACATAGCATGTGAACATCTTCGGATCGCAACCCCTTTGTTCCTGGAGGTAGGCACCCCATAAAGAAAACATCCATTGTCATTTAAAACCAAAAAGATCTGCCTTCTTGCTACACATAAATCATGTAATAGATCTTAAAAATAGTAAATTGCATAAACACCATCTCTCTCTTTCTTAATCAGACACATAATATACCAAACCATGTTTTGTTCATCATTGCCATATAAGTCTGTACACACCTGAAAAGTCTAAAGGGCCGTACTACAAGGCCGACACATGGAAAGGAAAAGTCAAAGAAGAAGCAAACATTTGGATTTCTCTGGTTAATGAAACTTCAATCAACATGGAAAACATTCCCTGAAAGGTTGGAAGCATTCTCTTTTGCTGTCCCGTAATATAAAGGGAGTCAAAAAGGTTGTGAAGGAAAAAAAGAGAACAGGCCAAAAGGATATGTTTTCAACACCTGGGTCAAATATCACACTCACAAATAACTTTTACAATTATTTGTAGCTTTTATTTCACCCAGGCGCGCCGTTTTCACCTCCAAACTGAACAGAGATTGCCGACTGCAACCATTCCCATGTCAAAGTAGAAAAAGAGAAATGGCCCATTAAGGGGGAACGGACATCTTCATGCTGCTAAAGCTCCCCCACCAATAATAAAGATACACTTACTGTATTTATTGGAGTCCCACAGGATCGACTACACAGATTCTACATTAAGGTAACGACAGCAGCATACGCTAAGACTACTTGTAATATAAGACGTCCATAACATGTAGTACATTTTCAACAGTCCCTGACATACTGACAAATTCATCTTTGCCAGATTTTCTGTATTCATGTTAACATGTGCCTGTGTATAGATATGTGGGCCAGATGGTCATTTTATATATTCTATATAGAAGAGTATAAAAATAAATTAAACCAACACCAGCGACTCAAATTGAGCTTGAATTTAAAGGTATATCACATCTGCAAATGTATATCGTATATATTTTTCAAAGCATCGCAAGTCGGTTTATAAACATCAATTTAAAAAAAAAAAAATAAATTTAAGACATTTTCCTAAAAACTAAAAGGACTGATCAAACAAAACCGTTGCCTCAAAGTGCTATGGAAGACTATGATTCACTCCAAAATGAAGCTCACAGCTGGGTGCCCACTCGATAAACCATACATCTACACCCCCACTCATTAAAATTGATCAGATATAATTATGGAGAATTATGCAGCACTGGGTTATCTTTCAACTCCGAGTAGAGAAACAGCACAACTCCACCAAGGATCTACAGAAAAGCTCTTTACCTCACGGGCATCAAATCTGAGGGGGAAATGGAGAGTGCAGAACTAAATACTAGACCAACATTTTGCAATGGTTGCAAGTACTCTGCTGCTGCTGAGGAGGAAAGATGGGGGCGAGGCCATACATTAGCATCTTGCCTAACAACTCTGAGTGAGCTCACGCAGGAAATGAGATGTTTCATTGCTCGCTGTACAAGCTAACAAGCTCACGAGAGACTTGTGGATCGCAGGCGAGCAGGAGCCAAAGATGGATCTCCAACAGAGAGAACTGTTGGTGCTGAAAGACGAACGTCCATCTGCCAGGAGTGTGTTCAGCTTTTCTCCTAAAAAGGACCTCAAGCCAGCATATTATTGCCTCAGAGCACGCAACCACACACTCGACCCTCATGTATGGTGAGCATGATGGATGGTGCCGACGCCCCGGTTGCCTCCAACATGGAAAAAAATAACGCAGGCTTTATACAAACAGAGGTCAGCGTCATCAGTGTGTCAACAAAACAAATGAGTTTAACCTTGGAGCGTAGCAAAAACCGCTTCACAACCACAGCCTGTCAATTTACAACATCTCATAACAGGCATCAAACTGGCTGGTAAGATGCTTGTTTTATCTATCTCCGCTCATACAACATAGGTTTAATATCACACATTGATGTTTTATAGCCTCTGGAATTTATTTCATGCACTACAGGACACACTTTCATAGTCGAAAACAATTGACTTAAAGTATCTGAAGTGGAAAATATCCGAAATGCCCATTGCAATTGTACAGTCACCAACAACACGCCACAATCCTCTCTTTCAAATCACGAAACCACCACTTGTTACAGGACAATAATCAAATATATGAAAAAACGGGGGATGCAATTCATTAATTCCTTTGGATTAATTCAATATGCTGAAATTCTCTTAAATATAATCTTCACAAGATCAAGCAACAGCTGATCTATCGACATTTCATCAGATTGCAGGTTATCGCCCAACCTTCATTATGCAGCGTTAGTCTGGGCCATGCATTCTGGAGTTTAGCATTTTAAAATATGCCAGGTTTGTCCCCTCATCACGTGCAGAGGAACAGCTTCAGTTTAATCTAAAGGGGTTAAATACCATTCACCAAGCCACAATCCTCACCTTGTCTTTACGTTTGTTACCCTCTGAGAACTTGGCATGGATCAAGAGACAGCAGGGGGGAAATCTTAGGTTATACAAATCAAGATATCGACCATAACCACGTCATTTATTTTTGCTTGCGTTGCTCTTGTGCCACTGCTTCTGCAGGGTATTTTCGTTTGTGGGGGAGTAAAGAGTTGTCGGCTGCTTTTTGGCGCGTCATGAAGCTTCCTGTTGCCTGGGAGACGGTGGGGCATGGTGTGCGCTGTTCCTGTGTACCATCTCAGGCAACTATCAGTCCTTCAGGTTGCCCTCGCCGACCCCCTGGGCCGACAGCTCTGTCAGGACGTTGTCCAGGTATTTGTGGTCCGGGTAGCCGTGACCAGTCAGGTTGGAGCCAAATTCTGTCTTGTGGTGAATCTCGTTCCACACCACCGTGTCCGACTCTCCCGTGGTGCTGGACGTGCCGATGGTGAAGATGAGGCGTCGGTCCCAGGCCATGATCAGCAGCTTCAGGACCTGGAGAGAAGAAAGAAGGATGTCATTATCCTGCTTTAGCAAGAAGAAAGTAACTATGATGTTATCCCTCTTTCAAAATATTTTTTAGCTTTCATATACTACTCAGATAACCAGGTATACATAAGTGTTAGAAAAAATATCACTCGTCACCGGCTTGAGCTTCAATATCAGGATACATGTATTTATTATCCTTGCAAGAATGGAAGTAGTCATCACATACAGAGCATATGGGACAACTAGTACAAGAGAGGGTGTATCACAGTCACAAGATGCAGAATACCGGTTCAAAGCAGTATACAATGTTTAGTTTTAGATTAGTTAATACCCACGTCAGAAATGATCATGCTTGTCACATGTCTATCTCCATAGAGGCTGAATCATCATGTTAGTCGTTGTCACATAGCTATCATATGCCTAACAGTGTGTCCTGATGCTCTTCCAGGTGATCATACATCCTGTTACGTACACAGCTACAGTTGGGCCTTTGTTATCATCTGCTACTCTGAAAGAGTACATTCAGTATTTTCCAAACAATAAGTAACTTCAAGTTTTAGCGAAGAAAGATCTTGCAATATACAAGCAAGATAAGGAGCAGAGATGCTTTCCCCTTCTTCAGAAAGAAATAATGTGCAGCAAAGCACACTTGCAAGGATGTAATGCTTCTGAGCTGTTGTTGTCTGTATCTGATTGTTTTCATGGACCATCAGTGCTTACCTTCCTGCCTTTGTCATTGTCAGGGAGGTAGCAGTGTCGAGGAAACCCTCTGGCACTGAATTTTTTCCCGGGGCTGGGGTGCTCATTGGTCTGGTGAAAAAAAGTCAAGCAAAAAAACGTTACGACGACTCTCCCAATTACGACTTTATTGTGTAGGAGATGTCAACAGCAATACGTAGATAACAATGTAAAAAAAAGAAAAAAAGAGATATGCTATTGTGAATATCCAATTATTTATTTTATGTATTGTTTATTTTTGCAGGGACAGCACACAATTAAAAGTAATTGCATCAGAGTTAGCTCGGAGATAATTTGCATCTGTTGTGCGTGGTAAGGTGGACAACAACCCCCCGCATAATGACAAAAACACTACATGAAACAGCACAGTACATAGAAGTCCATCGGTGTGAGATAAGTAGATTCAGTACGATTTTAAACACTGCCAAGCTCCCTGAATCTCCATGTTTGCGTGTATGGAAGAAGACAACAAGGCTGTAATTCTGAACTGTGGTACCCAGTCACTCTTAGTAGATGCTACCACCTAGTAAAGAGGAGGGGGGTGCAAGGTTATGAATAATTGTTATATATCAAGCATGCATCAGAGTAAAATAAGAAGTTATAGAATTTGAGGAAATTGTTTTGTTTCACGATATTTAGATAATCCCTTACACCTTATCTAGTAACCTTAGCATTTTGTTTTTGTAGATAGATCATATTTAAAGGGGACCTATCATGCAAAATGCACTTTTGTACGTCTTTTATACATGAATATGTGTCCCCGGTGTTCCAGGGAACTCACCAAGTGTCAGAAAACACAACCCTCTCTCTTTTCCTCCATACCCAAATCTCTAAAAAAGGGGCTGCAACAGATCTGATAAAAACTGATCAAGATTTGAACACTGTCCTGACGTCAGGACAGTGGCGCTACGGCTATTGGGCCAACTCCACCAATCAGGAGGAGACAGCCACGGCCATTGCCGTTCGAAAGCGCTGGAGACGTTGTAGTACATATGCCAGGCCTGTAGGTGGTGCTGTTCTCACAGAATCAGCCCTTGCAAAAACAGAGCTAAAAAAGTGCAAATTGAGCGACATGAGGCATGGCTAAAATGCATGATCTGTTTGGTATTTTGAAAAAAAAAAGTATAAATATGCCTTATATAGGTATGGTCCTACACTATATTATTATAATATAGCATGATAGGTCCACTTTAAGAATTGTGCTCTCATAGCTTCAATGTGAAAAAAACTTGATTAAATCATTTTCCCACCCACACTTATTAATAAAGGAATTTGTAGTTACAGCTGCCTTGTCGTGGTAAATTGGTCACATAATGTTTCCTATTTCCAGAGAGGTTTGAACATTTGGCTGTTATATCGGGCCTTTTTCGTGTGTCGAGAGTCCCTTCACCTCTTTTTGTCTCCTTGTCTCCTCAGTACATGTAGACCAATGAGACAGACCTATCATCACAGACATCAATCTGATTGCAAAGCAGAAGAAATACAGTGTACACCTTATGTACGTTTTATCTTTTGTTTATTCCTGTGATAGTTTTAATTAATTCATTGATTTGAACTGTAATATTATTTTGCTGTTGTTCATTAGCTCCATTACAGAGTTACATAGTGGACCGAGGAGTGAGAGGAGAAAGAAGAGAGGCGGGAGACCTACAGAAATGTTCCCTGAGCGGTGAGGTCACCCCCAGTATTCTCTGTCCCCCGGGACACAAAGCCTGTTCCTCTGGTGGAGAAAGGTCAGTTTATTGACTCTATTAAAGCTCCTATAAGCAGTCAGGATGAAATACGCAACCTTTTCATCTCACCGACACAGAACCAGGCTGCAAAAACATGCTCTCCTCTCCACTGCAAATGCAATGAAAAATCCAAATGACCTTTATTGGATCCGTTTATTCTCATCTCTAAAATATATTTATATTTCATTTTAAATGATAAATTAAATGCTGAAAAACCCTGAAAATCAATGGAAGAAACATCCATCTTCTATGGGGGATCACCATGGGACTTGCATAGCGGCAACACCTCATTTTCCTGCACTTATAACCGTCTGTCAGACTCAAGCAGATCGGTAGCAGTTGTAGAAAAGCACACAGATGTAGAGATATGAAACAAAGGATCAGGGCACAAAAGAGGCATGGTGGATTTAGTGAAGTGGCACGGTTCTGACCTGGATCCCAGCAGGAATGTCGTAGACGATGCGGATGCTCTTGGAGTCTGGGTAGCCGGGCAGGCAGTGGGGGATGACGTGATACTCCATCTTCCCAGGAGGCTGGGTGCCCGTTTTCTCCCCATAGATGGTTTTACATGTTGGGCATTGAAGACTGCCATCCTGTTTGATAACAAAATATAAATATTGGCAGGGTAAATGGTAAATTCACCTAAATAAAAGCATTTTTTACTTCACCTCCTGTGATTGTAGTCATGTAGATATTTTGGATTTTATTTGCGTTTTGAGATATTTGTCTCTGATATTTCAGCTTGGTCTCCCAAACAATTACATGAATGCCATTTAGTTTGTAATGCTGGAAGTAAACTTATATTTAAAGCCTCTCAACATTTCTCTTCCACATGATGAAAGGATAATCTATCATTTGAAAGGGTACCCTTGCGATGAGAAACCCATAGAGAATTAGCAGATCCCCTTAGATCTACGAAGCAATTAGGAAGGAGACTAAACAAGAGCTAAATCAGTTAAAGGTGGGTTAGGTAATTTTGGAGAAACCAGCTCGAGTGTGCTAGAATTTGAAAATACACAACCGGAAAAAATCTGCCACTTCCTTATAGAGCCCCTCCTCCAACACACACGAACGCGCACATGACCAATGAGGGCACGAGATAAGTTTGTGCACAGATGGAAGGCTGACAGGCAGGTAGGCCATCCAGTTATTTTAGCCGGGCCGGCTAAAATGATTGGTCGTGCTTTTTACAGTACTACAGCTTCCACAGATGACATTTTTTTATGGATTTTTTGTCAAAGCACTTAAGATATTCATTGCTATCAGGATGTTAAGAGCATTCCATGGAATATAACAAAAAGTGTATCTCGAGCCGGTTTCTCAAACTTACCTACCCCACCTTTAACTAATGTATTGTATTGGTTCACGAGAAACACAACTCAAAATGAATGCTAAAGGTACTGTAGATCTACATCTGGATTTCTAAATAGTAACTGTTTGCTAATATGTTAATGGTCATTAATGGACATTCTTTATGGTTAATGTCAAGTGGCCAAAAAGTCTTTGAATACAGCTTTGAAAAATATTTAACAGCAACATGTCTCTCTAGTAAAACAACGTGCTGATACATTTCCACACAAACTGTGTTAAAATATTCGATTGTAGTTTGAAATGTTCCGACCATCACAACAGGATGAAAGCAGAAATCTCAAAGAAGGATATGTAAAAAACTCAGAGAAACAAAACCAAAACGTTTTACTCTTTTAGATACCACCAGAGCTAAGTGACAAAATTAATTAAATTAGTCTAATCCGGCCTTTTAATAGTAATTGATACATATATTTCACATGATTATACCAATTATTGGTAATGTAACACTGATGGCTGCTAATTAAATCTGCCAACATTTGCATTAACGAACAGCATATTAATGCAAGTAAACTGAACCGAAGTGAGCCAGTATTTTTCTATTAATACTTGTAATTCCCATCGGTGTGCAATGATATTGAATCCTGATCATCTGCCAGTGCCATACAATCCGTCAGGGCCTCACGAGTTTATAATTCGATCAACTAGAGTGACATCATAACAACGTCTGGCTCCCAAGCTTTTACCCACCTTATTGCCATTGTTGTACATGGCCACCAGGCACAGCAGATGGTACATGTGGCCACACTTGCCAAGTTTGCCCACCAGCTCTGGCTTGATGCCTTTGTGATGCAGGATGCCTTCATAGCCTGACGCCATGACCAGCCTCTCCATGCAGATGGTACAGTCCTGGAATAGACAAGCAAAATACTTCAGCTGTCATTCTAAGTGACCGTGTAATCATGAGACTTTCACACATGGTTAGGACATCTAACGGTCGCAGAGAGCATCTCTTGGTGGTGGGCAATCTTCTGTGCATGCTTGTGTTTTTCTTACCTCATCTGGCACCACTTTAATCTTCTCTGTGTATCTTCGCACCACATCCTCTGGGTTTTTGCCTTGTCATAAAATAAAGCATAAGAGAAATGAGTTGACTGGTGAAGAAAAGCCAATCCAGCCACTTGCTTACACCCACACACCACAAGTAATTATGAAAAAGGGCAAGATAGACCACTGAATGGCATTTGTTTGTCATTTAAACACAAGAGAATAATAACAGTAAGATCTTGACGGATGACACACTTTTATGAGTTTCAGCCGTCACGCTGACAGCTTTTTTTCTGATGAAAGAGTGTTTTCCCATGTGAATGTAGTTCACATGTCTGTGGTGTTAAGGAGGAGGTCACCTTCAAACTCAAACATAACCCAGCCATCCCCACACTCTCATAATCCCTGTGTAGAGCCAGGCTAGCATGGCTGAGAGCACACCCACAGCTTACACCCCTAATACGCTTACAGGCAACCTCTTCTCCCCCGGGAGCCTTTGTTTGTTCATTTGAGGGACAGCCAGCGAAAACAGAGGGAGGGAGAGCAGTGGAGAGAGGAAGACTGAGCAAATAAAAGGTATGAAGGCTAGGAGAGAGGGAAGAGGCAGAGAGCTGTGAAGAGAAGGAGGAGTGGGAACAGGAAAAAGGAGGAGAAAGACAGAATTGTTACGCAATGCCTACTTGATGGCTTCATTAGCCCGGATCAAGAGCTGTCTGACCTTTTTCTGTACAGAAAGCAGAGAAGGATAAGCCCATATCTAAAAAAAAACACTTTTTGATTCCCCTCACAGTTCTCCAGTATCAGAGTTTAAACTCGGCACATACAGGTTGCACATTTGGCAGCTGCCTCATTCCTCCATTTAACACCCCAGAAATGTTTAATCATCATTCATTTAGAATGATAGTCTCCCCTAGCAGGAACCTTCCTATACATTTACAACCACATATCAGGATCCTTCCTAGTAAATTAGATTAAACTATGGGACCCGTTAAATAATGTCCCGCTGCATCATCTGCTCCAAAGGGTTGAAGAGGACGACCACGGTGCAGAAACCGAAGCCCAACAGCCTCACTGATCAATTAGGACAAAGACTCCCGTGGGAGGCAGGCGGTTTCCAAGGCTTCCATCGACCAGCACTTATTCAAGCACAAAGCCGTCCAACTGAACACCAGATCCCCTCTCAAACCAGCTCCGTACAACATTTCCCCTGTTAATTACTTTCCTTACAACTGCCTCTATCAATCTGCATGTAGTGTAACACAAATAAAATGGTTACGGTAACACATTCGCCGCGTTTGCTCATTCATCTGAACAAGCAATCATCATTACATTTTATAGGAGCTTTTGAAAAAAGGTAAAGGCATTCTCGCCTCACTAATCATCAGTGACCACGGTGAGTGTGGATTTATTGTAAACCTTCATGCAGCTGAAATTGGAAGCATTTAAAGGATAATTTTGTAAACAGCTTTGATTTTGTTTGCATGGTAAACAACAGACAAAGGAACAGCTGATGGGGAAACATCCTGCAAAGCTTGGCAGGACAGAGAGAGTCTGCTGACAGTCAGACAGCAGACTCTCGTTGGTCTATTTCTCTTCTCAGTGCATTTCCAATGTTCCAACACCATATAAAAATACCATGGTAGCATTTACACTTTGTTCTCAATTCACTTCCTCCTCTCTTCGCATTGACTTGCTCCATCTTACCTTTCCTCAGGTGCTTTTTCTTGGTTTTGCGGCGCATGCCATTGATCCCTGGAACAGGCTTCATGTCGCTCTTATTGATGGGGGGCGGGTGCAGAATGGGCTTGGGGGCCCGGGTCAGGCAAACCGGCAGACCTGCAGCGCACATCAGGATACCTGTCATACCTGAAGCATAAGGACAGCACACACACATACACACAAAAATACACACAAAGAAGAATGGAAAAAAAACACTAATTGTAAATGTCTTTCAAGATCAATAAGAGTTTCAGCACTCAAATCTAATTTTTAGCAGATGCTATACAATGAATAAGAGCTAGGCGATAAATAAATATGACAATTTTGCGTCTTTTATTGTAAATGTATCCTAATGAAATCCTATATTGACAATGACATATGATGAAATTAATCAATAATAGAAAAACTAACTAACTCAAATTCCTCTGACTATTCTGTATGTGTGTGCATCAATGTAAATGTAGTCAGCGTGTAGCTTGAAACATATATATGTATTTTGTCTTTATAATCTCACCTTATAAGTTCCTTATAAAATGAGGAAATACTACTTCATATATATATATATATATATATTACCTCATTTGTGAAGTAATTAATTAACACAGGTGTATCCAAAATAGATTTCACAACATAATTTTTTCATAAATATATATATTTATTTATTGAATTGACGAATAAAAGTATACTGTAAAGCCATGATATGACATTAAAGGATTAAGGTATTTGGACATATTTCCCAGTAGCCTGAATGTCGACTAACCTGCTAGGGCTGGGTGCACTGGTCCAGTTCCAGTCAGGTTTTTTACTGGGAGAGCAGGAACCCTAAAAAAAGCAAAGAATAAAATGTGTTTAAAGTACATCATGGCCACAGAAAGTGTCTAGCTTGCATCATACATTCATTCAGGGTCATACTACCACCTCTAGTGGCCATTAGGAGACATCAAGATCCACAGTAAACACAAATCATCTTCTCTGTGCGGCAGTCCATTCTTGTTCTTTTCTCAAAACCAAAAACCACATTTAAATGGACTTGCAACCTTTAAAATGGATGGTAAATTGTCCTGATCATGCATCATTGCCTGTAATTGCCACAGTTGAGAAAAGTGAGAACAGCAGCCCGTTCTGCCCCACATGCCACAAAAAACGGTTAAAATGTCACATGTGCTTCACCACAGAGACAGAGACAACTGCAATGGGATGAGACAGCTTGACTCATGTACAACGCACTGCAGCAGAGTCTGATTCAGGATGACATTTGGAGAGGCTGGAGTTCATGGTGAAAACAGACGACAAAGACAGTTGACTTGCGCATTCTCACAGATCTGTGGAGCTAGCCGACAAAAGCACTTATAAAGGCATTATTATGGGCACACAATCAGTGAGTCGCTATAGAGGGCCGTGGTTTACTGAAAAGCATTCGGAGCAGCAGAGTTTGCAGACAATTATTCTTTCCTCAGGTAAAGAGAAAGCCCCAGTGTCATGACAAGCCAACTCAAGTTATGCATTTGCAATCAATATCTTGCTTTAAATCACAGCCAAGAAGCAACACGTAAAGAACAATAATTGAACATGTAATTGCACCAGATGCAAGTTGGTTATAAAAAAAGGCCCACAAAATCAAGTCTCGTAAATACAGTGAAGCATTCAGCTGCTAATCAGAACAATACACTTTATTAGCTGTTGGGTTGGGGTCAATAAAGTAAATATCTAAAAAACATATATAAGAAAACGAAACCACAACTTGCTGGTCTACTACAAGTCAATTAGTTTGTGTTATTGTGTGACTTTGCTGTTTTAGAGTGTTATCTCGACCTCCTCAAAGTCACAGAATATCACAAACTAAGATCTGGCATGCAGACCACCATCTTCTGTAGGGAATACACTGGCTATGGATAAGTACCTCATACAACCACTCTTTAAAACATCCAAACAATTCCTTTACGTAGATGGTCCGAGACATTTTTTAAACATAACTTGAACAAAGTTACATGAAATTATCATGTGTAAATGGGGCACTGTTCACTGAGCAATTTATCTCAGTATATCACACACTCACACACATACATACACACTAACTAATCTCCACATATACATCTCTCTGCTCTCTGACCATGAAGGGACTGAGATCTTTGGCCCTGCAGCGCTCAGGCGTTTCACAGATCCGCATCAAGAGACTGCTTTGATATTAGCGAGAGCCTCGGAGCCTCTGTTCCTGCACCAGGGGAAGCCCTTCAATTAGCTGAGTGTGGAGTGCAAGCAATAAGGGAAAGGGATGCGAGGCCTGGCTGAGGCTGATGTGTCCTGGGTAGGGACTTGCTGCACGTTGTTTCTCACACCAGAGGACCAGGATCAGCTGACTCCTGTCGTGTGTCAGACTGGAAAAAAATGAAAGCACGGTGATGTGTTGTTTCAAACACCTTATGTCAAAATGTTGAATTCAAGATGTGAAACTCAGACAGGTTTGATTTTTAGTGACAAAAGCAAGTGATTTCACACCCTCAACCACAGCAGAGGAATTCACTTGTGAACTCCCCCACTGCAGTCACTGCTTACAGCTCAAACTAACTAGTCGATACATTACTTAAGTTAAAGAAACAGTTTTGCCTTTTTTATTGGTTTTAAAAGTAGAGGAACATTTTTACACTGGACTTGTGCTGTTTGGGGATTTTCCTTTCCTGGTGTGTGCACACAAACCAATATAAGATAGATAAATAAAGCATATAATATATCTATTTACCAATCTCTATCTCTCACACACATTTCCCCTTCCTGCCTGAAACGCCTCCATTGGACTCCTTTGTTTACTTCAGTAACATAGTGACATCACTACGTACACTCTCGCTTCTATTGGCTAGTGCTCAAACACATTGTACGTGATAGGCTAAGGAGCAGGACATCTCTAAGTGGTTGACCAATAACAACACAGACGGCCAGCTAACCAATCAGAGCAGACTGGGCTCTGGTTTCAGACAGAGGGTGAAAATAGGTACTGCAGCACAGGCAGTATGATAAATAAAAACCTATTTTAACATTAAAGCGTGTAAACATGTCACACTGGAGGCACAAAATATGAATATGAACCTGAAAATGAGCGTAATAGGGCTCCTTTAAGGCAGAGCAAGTGCCAAACACCTTTTCAAACCTGAATATCAGAAGTAGAATGGGATTGGCCAAAGCGGCATCTGATACTCATTAAAACCAAATTAGGTGCAGCCCAGTGGGAGAGTCCCTCCTCCATTTAAACATGCACTTAGGCCTAAATCAAATCAAAACACATGACGCCTCCCTCTATGAACGCATGTATAATTAAGCTTGTTCAGTGAGAGCGCTGTGATCAAACAAATAATTTTCATTAGGAGAAGAAATGAGACAGCACACCATGAGAGCCCTTAACACCATCTCATTGTGTGCCGTGTGCACACTGCACAAACTACACACTCCTATAGGCACACAGCACAGAGGATTTGTCAAAGATCCATAACATTACATTAATTAGGAAAATGCTTTTCATCTTTATTGCTTTCAAATTCTGGCAAAGATCTTGGCATGAGCCGGCAAGTGTATCGCATAATAAATATGCAATGTTAATGAAACAGCTACACACCGTTTGATTACACATCCACCATAAAAGCAAAAGCTAACATACTTATCTACTCTGTTTTTATGGTGTATTTTAATACGAAGACAAATACATCCCCATCTTGCAGGCAATTGCTTTTTGGCTGTACTTCATTACTTCTGAGAGCGTGATTACCTATCTTTACAGTGCAGAATTCTTTGTAAACACATGACTGCATCCTTTACCAGCCAGTCGACCTGTAACCTGTAAGCAGCTTCCACTCCATCTAATTCTGCGCACCCTTTTCTCTTAATTTGCTTTTAGAAATGTGCACCTGGAGGTATGACCCTCTCCATCATGGCTGTGCCTGAAGCAGCTTCACACACTCTGACACTGACAATCCTAATGCTGGATTATTTCAACGGTTAAACTCCTCCCCCTTGTTGCTTATTCCGCTCTCTGCCGCACATAATTATTGTCTAAAAATACCGTCATAATTATTGGGAGTGCATCAAAATCCATTGTCATTACTTATCATCTAGTTCCTAAAAGTGTGCTGCCGGAGGTCTCCACTGATCATAAACAACAGGCTGCGTTAGCTCATGAGTAATTATACCAAAACGTCAGTGCAAACAAGAGCAGACCTTTGGCCTTTACACTGCAACCCTTCTTTTCCAGCATCCAAGCTTTGACAAGGCTCCTTTGGAAAACCAGACTAAACATCATCCCCTCTGCATTTATTTTGCTCTGCCAACTCAAATGTCTCTCCTTCTCCGAGCCTGGCCACAATCAAACCTATAAAAGTGGACAGTAGTGTGCTTCTGAGGAATTACCATTTGCTATGGCGCTTTTTTGTAGGTCAAACGCTGCAGTTTCTGACCTAAAACCAATGCAAATTAAGTGTTGAATCCAACCCCTTCACACCTAACTCATTAAAACCAACTTAATTGTGGCCCATGCTAGGTCAGGGCACGAGGGTAGCTGTCCTTTTTCAGTTTTTTCTTCCTTCCTATCCTGGGGGAACCTCCAGCCTGCCTTGAGGAATTAATCAGACCGGGAGGGATGTGATTCCCCAAATAGAGACTACATTAGGCCTAGTTAGGAATGTGCTGACGGGGGTCTTATATCTCCTCATCTGTTTATTATGCACCATAAAGACAGTAAGAGGGGGGATGGAGGAAGAGAACTCCAGGAGGGCTTAATTGCATATTGCTGCGAGTATCAGGAGGCAGAGGAAAGCCCTGTTCGTGCTGCACTGTGGTGGGGGGGGGGGGGGGGGTAATGCACTTTTACCTCCTGAAATGTCCTGAGAATTAAGCAATAATGACACCAATGATTCTAAAGTACATCAGTTTGGTCCTGATGAGCTGACATGATTGATGAATTCATTTTTTATATTAATTTTATCTGGTGGTAAGCCCCAGAGCTGCCCACTGAGGGATAATGAACTTCGCACACAGCCCTTCAGCCAACACTCAGGCGAGCAGAGTGAAGCTCGTAAACACAGCCATTGACAGCGTGCACATTCATACACACACTCGTGCCCTGTTGTCTGAAGACAGCACAGCGCAGCGTCTCAGTTAAATAGCACTACGCATGAAGAACTTGCTCAAGAGGAAGTGGCTTGGCTAATAAACTAAGACATGAGAAAAATCCCCAGAGATCTTGTTACATTATTTCTGTTCAATCCACCCTCATAATATGCTTCTTTATCTTTCAAACAGTCTTATAAATGAATATAATAACTCCTCCTCACTCAATGTTATCATCATCAACTCTTACAGCTTTTAAAAAGTGAGAATCTTCTGCTTTTTGAAAAACATCTGAAGTTGCAGCCCTACTAAACATAGCCTTTGTTTCACACAAGTGTAAACTGAATAATTCAAAAATAATCTATAGCAGCCTGTATCTGTCGTTACTACACATGACCTTGTTTCACAGGTCCTCGGTTTATGGCAGGTATCCTGTAGAAGCAGGTGTTATATAGTGGGCCGTGTCAAACCCATTATTAAGATAAACTGATGTGTTTACACAAACCAGCAGATGGTGCCACTTCTAATATCAGTTCACGCAAGACAGATGCATTAAACAACACCATTAATAGCCCGAAACCCTTTGGTTCCTTCACACAATAAAAACATCAATATTTGAACTGTAGTCTCCAACGATACACAAGTCAAAAAAACATATGGATTGTGCTCATGGGCAGATGAAATCAATCCTATGCAAGAAATGTAAATGGTATGGTGGTTTGTGTATCTAAAGCAGTGACATCAACTCCTGTAAACAAGCCATAGATGCCAAATACCTTTCTCGCACCCAGCACCCGTTTTATTCTGGTGTGTGAAAAACAGATCTGATGTTTTGCATCTTGTGTGGGTTCCTCTGTTATCGGCCCTGAGCACGCTTGTGGGAAGTTTTTGTTCTCATTTCATGTTGTGTGTGTGAGCTCATGTTCTGTTGTGTGTGTGAATGTTAACCACACTCATCCTGTATGTCGAGCCACTCGCCTGGGAACTGACGCACTCCACCTCACCCCCAGTCTATTCCTCTCCCTCGCTTTTTCTGTGTCCGCAAAAAACATTTTGTGTGAAAAAGTGACATTCAAGCTTTCACTGATTTCTTACAATAAAGAAGAACATGTATATACTTCCCATGCTGGTTTTCTTTATGCACAAAGTTGCATCATTTTCCACCTGCTTGCTGTATAAAACAAGGTCATGGCCTACTACGAAGAGCAAAATCTTATACGTTTCCTTTCAGTGTCGCAGAATGAGGCCACAGAAAGTAAAAGGATGTGTGCCTGGGTGAAGGACGGCATTATTCAAACACGCAGTAAGTGTGTCTCTCCCCATGAGCAGTGCGAGCAAAATGGAATCAAATTAGATCAGGAGTGGTTTATTTTAGTAAAAGAAAGCAGGATAAAGGACTGAAGTATCGGTTACAACGCTACACACACTTCTTTTCCTCCTTTCGCTGAATCGCTCTGAGGTCACAGCGCTCAGCTGAAGCTCCCATTTTTCCTTGATCCATTATTCATTCTTCCCCAGTGGAGCTCTGCCTCCATGGCAAATAGCTTTCCACAGCTACACCAGAGCCTGCCCGTGCATGAACACAACCACACCATAAAACAAAAGACGCGGTTACACACACAAAGATCCAGATATTCAACCAACAATGTCATTTTTTTCATGACCACCACAGCATGGTGCCATACTAAGAAATGTGCAAGCAGAGGCCACAGAATTAATATAGAAGAGCTGCAGTATTTCACGCCTATTGGGGCCAACATAAGCTCATTATGGAGCATTGCAGACGAACATGTGAAAAGAAGGGCTCTTCCTCTGTAAAATCAACTGGACCCAAGGCTTTTTCTGCAGCTGTAATGATCCATATGTTAACGAAATGTATCATAAACCAGCAGAGAGAGGTAGAAAACGACAGAGAACAATACTCCTGACTAGGGATGTCCCGATCCGATCACGTGATCGGGGATCGGAGCCGATCACGTGATTTTCACGTGATCGGGGATCGGGAGAAAAAAATCGGGGATTTTTATACATTTTATCTTAAAGTCATCCTGAGGCCTTAGTTTTGGGTTAAAATTACACAACATCATGTATGTGTTGCTTCTTTTGGGCTTGTTTTCATAGACCTGGTTGCTTATTTCTCTCAAATCTGGCAACAGAGTGGGCGCAGTGTCTAATAGTAGCAGTAAGCTAACAAGAGGCTACGTTCAGCTGGTGACTCGGGAGTCGGGACAGAGAAAATGTCAGGAGTTTGGAAGTACTATAAAATTGAAAGCGAAGGCAGTGTAACAGCCAGATGCAATGTTTGCAAGGCGGAGGTTCCGCGTGGTGGAAAGAACAGAGCTACGTTCAACACGACCAATCTAATACAAACACCACCAACAACAACACGACGAGTACACAGCGGCCACTCAGGTAACGGCACTGAAACAACCGACACTTTCAGAGACTTTTAAAAGGAAAGAGAAACTACCCCAGAACAGCCAAGATAGCTGAATTCATCGCGTTGGATGACCAGCCGTTATCTGTTACCTTTTTTTTCCTCTTAATGCATTGCATAAAGATCGGATCGGGAAAAATCGGTATCGGCAGATTGTCAAAATCAAATGATCGGAATCGGATCGGGAGCAAAAAAAGGTGATCGGGACATCCCTACTCCTGACACAAAGAGACTAAAGCTTTGTGAAGCAGAAAAGCAGAAACAGAGATTGTCTTTGCTTTTTATATCCTCCTATTGCCTCAGCTCAACTGGAAATTCAACCAAATCCGAGCATTATGCCTGTGCTATAACAAGTAACAGGCCACTGCATTCTCCATTCAAAGTGGAAGATAAGGGGTATGAATGCTTCTGTTTGTCATTACCCTGGTGGGACGGCTCCTCTGGCAGTGCTGATGGAAATGCGCTGTGTGCCCGGCCGGTTCAGGTTGTTCTGTCCGTTGATGGTGAGAGCGTGGTGGCCATGGGCGGATGAAAGAGTGGGCATCACGGGGGAACAGGGGAAGTTGGCAGAGGACAGTGGCAACAGCACCTGTTCAGCTTTGGCATGCCCACCTCCCATACTTATGTTATTGTTGTTGGGGCCCGAGGAGGCGGATGTCGGGGACCAGAGGGAGGTTCCAGCAAAGGTGTTGCTCTGCCGCACTGCAGTGAGAGTTCCTGTAGCGCCTGTGTTTCCTGTTGTCACGCCGTAGTGCTTACGCCGTTGAGAGGCCAGAATTGCATTGGAGGCGGCTCTCGTGCTGTTGACCAGGATGCACTGCTGGCAGGAGCAGGGCTGGCCGGAGTTTGCTCCCACGGGCCATGACTGGGACTTGGGGATGGAGCCCATGATGAGCGGGTAGGCCAGGTCCATGCGTCTCCGCAGGCGTCTCTTACGCTGACTCTGCCTGTTGGTCTGACACATGCTGTTGAAGTCGATGAGATAGCAGAAGCCCAGAGAGGTGAGGTCAAGCCAGGGGTGCTGCTTCTCGTAGGCATTCTGGATGGTCACACAGATCTCCATGTCATACGGCGTCCACGAGCCGCTGTCGTTCTCCCACTCCCACACCACGCCTTTCCCCGGGGCGGACGACGGCTCATAGAAGTTTCTCTGCACTGGTCTCATCGTGCCTAAAACAAAAGACAGGGGAGAGAGTGAAAAATGAGGACAATCTAAAAAAAAAGCTTTTGTTATGGTCAGCTACTTTGCAAGGACAGAAGATCACAAATGATAAATGTGAGAAGGAATAAACATCATTTTTTTAGACCAGATTTTCTTTATTCTGCATCTTTTGACACCTCTGCTGGCTTTACAGATTCAGGTCAATTAACTAATCCGTCCACAGGAAATGGTTCTCATTTTGAACTCATTATGAGTTTCATTATAAGTTAAATTAAACCATTTAGTTTGCCGTTCATAAAGCCTGAGGACTTTCAAGAGACAGATTAAAAAAGTAAATGAACTTTGAGTCTCTTATGTGGGTCAAGCTACAAAAACTCAAGGTACTGGACAAACCTCCAGTTTGTAAATCTGTTTAAAATGTCAAATTAAAAGTCTCAAGCTCAAGCTGAAATAGTAAGCGTAACTTCATGTGTAAAATAAGTGTAATGCCCATTTAATTTATTGTATTGATTTCTCTATTGGTTGCAAATGAGATGACTCTAATTTGATGAGTCCCAAAGCCCCAAAGAAGAGCGCCAGCCGTTGAAACAAATTGTCGTAGTTGCCAAATGGTGTTTCTACAGTCCCATTCTAGCACATCACGTCATTTTGGCCCAAAAAAACGTTTTCCCATTGACTAACATTGTCAACCACCCAGTATGAACAATTTTAGAGCCGCTTTATCATTAGGTTTTACAAGTTTACCAGAGTTATTTTCACTCTCCATTCATTTGACTTGAGCTGAGAGGCGGGCTTAAGGAAAGCTCAAGTACGCACGCATATGGGCAAAAGTCCCCGGATGATTTGGTTTTGAATTTACAGTCGTTCCATTTTAGGCTTCATGTGCCACAACTTTCATAGGAATGAATAAGTCCCGCCTCCAATGCTGTATCCAGAAACTATGAAAAAACATAAAACTCTAACAAATGTAAACGTGCTTAGAATATTTCATTATACTTGACAAATAATTGTGTAAATTAATAATTGTTAGGAAAAAGATTATTATCATTAGATTAAACTCTGTTGATATTAGCCAGAGGCAAAATGCAGTTTTAATGCTGCTTCGGTTTATTGCTCAATGACTGAGCCAACAAGTGTTGAGACCGCAGATTGACCAACTGATGAAGACGAGGTGTAACACTTCTCTACCTGCCAGAGGGAATGTAGTTGCAAACTGTAGCAGTAAGTCAGTGGCTCAAAAAAAAGAGAAGAGAAATACATAGCAACAAGCTGGTGTGCACACGCTAGGAAAATCGCTCCGAGTGTGTATTAAGCTGCATGCGATGGCCACAGACATCATACCCACAATCCCTTTCTGCCTCAGTCTGCAGTCAACTGTTCTGTATGGCGACAGGAAGGAGTGGGTTGTACCTTTGTCCCTCTGCTGACGGCCACTCAGCTCCCACCTCCATTATAACACAATTACCGTAGTCACATGGGAAATCAGGACACCTTCGCCTATCCATCTCCCCGCAGCAAGTCCGCAAGGGTATCCAGGCACTCCGACCCCCACCTTCCCCCACCTAATTTAACGGGTAAATGCACACTCTCCTGCCAGGGAGGACCAGGGTGATAATGGAGAGATGGGAGTGTGTGAATGGATGTTGGAAAGAGTAGAGGGGTCTGTGGGCAGCGGTAACCCCTCATGCTGCTTGCTCTGGAGAATAAAATGCATCAGTAGAATCAGTAAGTCTGACCTTGAGGCTGTGGTGCAGACTGCTGCTAAAGGACTGGGCTTGACGCACACACACACACACACACACACACACACACACACACACACACACACACACACACACACACACACACACACACACACACACACACACACACACACCACACACACACACACACACACACAACACACACACACACACACACACACACACACACACACACCCACACACACACACACACACACACACACACACCACACACACTACACACACAACACACACACACACACACACACACACACACACACACACACACACACACACACACACACACACACACACACACACACACACACACACACACACACACACACACACACACACACACACAACACACACACACACACACACACACACACACACACACACACACACACACACACACACACACACACACACACACACACACACACACACACACACACACACACACACACACACACACACACACACACACACACACACACACACACACACACACACACACACACACACACACACACACAGCCAGCTGCCTGTGTCTCTCACGTCTTTGCTCACTGAGCCATGCCCAACTTTTTCTGCCAGTTGCATTCGTGCCTGCTCACGGCTTGCTTGCATGATTTCTTGGAGGATGATAATGAAAATTATAATGATTTCCCTAAATGGATTTCAGAATAAAACACTCATTGATTTCCTGATAGTCATGATTTGGTCTGTGCTTTTAGCGTAGCGTTGGAGAGCTAGCCACACGTCTGAACCCTTTATCCCTGCAGCTCCTGAGGGATGCATTAGATGCGACACTTTCCGAGTGGCTGCATGTTTCTGTGACCATGTGGTCAATGGTGGCACAGCCATACAAAGTCTTGCTAATAGGCTACACAACACAAGCTTCATAAATGTTTCAACATGTGAAGATGTGTTTTTCCCAGGCGTCAATTTATACATCTTAACTTCGGTGGTGAGAAATAAACAGTTTCTATCTTTGAAAGCCTATTAGTACTGGTAATTGTTCATGAGAGTGCTGATGGAGCCTGACGCATGAAATGTGCTCAGCTGAAAGATTTTCAGTGGGCTCGGAGGGATGGGTGTTTGGCAGCCAGATTTCTCCGCTGTAGTTAAAGTGAGGCGAGGACAGGGCTTTGCTCAGCATTCACAGAAAAAAACTGGTCTGTGACTCCCCTACATGTATATTACTTATTAAATTAGAGTCACAGAGCTAAGCACCCAATTTTCCTCCAAAAGATAAATACCCGGCAATTTTTGAAAAACCTTGAAGGTCATTTTATAAGACTTACTGCCGTTATAAAAGTATTTCTAGAATCCTCAAACACTCCTCTGACCATCTGGATTAAAAATACATCTGTTGTGCGAGAAACAAACAACGCTTTCTAGGGCTTTTCAAAGGTCGACGAATATCCACAGCTTTCTAGCTCATAATACATGCAGGGCACAAACTGAGGCTTTCAAGGACTAAGCATAAAAGGTAAATGCTCATACAGTATGATATATATAAACAATGAAATGTATTTGTTAACGACAATTTTAGTTTAGTATATTTTTATAAATTCAAACTAACTAAAACAATTGCTGAGATCGGATAACAAGGTGACTTCCTACTATAAAGTAAAACAAATGGACATTGCAGAAGTAGGTTAAAGGAATAGTTTGATTTTGTGTCTTGTTTAATCTGCTAAATGTCTGTTACATGTATGTATTTGTATCAAATAAACAAATGAGATAAACATGTTGATAGGGGCAAGCAAACTAATTCTTAAAAAGGGGCACTATCATGATTTTGGGGTTTTCCTGTAGTGTGTTTTATAGGTTTCTGTTATCCAAAGGGAGTTTCTCCCCCACACACACTCCTTATTCTAAGCTAAGCATCTCCTATCACAATTCCTACAAGTCAAGCTATTCCTTTCAAATGAAACCAAACAAACCCACCTATTCATCCAAATAAGCTGGATGTTAACATTGTACAGTTTTGGTAGTAATGTCACTTTAAGTCTTTGTTTTCATCTTCTAAATATGTTTTGGCTAACTTGGGTGTTGCTGGTTTCCAACATCTCAACACATAAGTACACAACTATTGTTACCAATTGAAAGTATGTCCAAAGTAAAACCCACATTCAAACAAACTACAGTTCTTCTCTAAACACTTGCATTCTTCTGCAGGGAGTGTACAGGTTGCGGATTAGGGTCCTTGAGAGGAAAAGGCAAAGGCTACAACAACACACGTGTCCTGGGGCCTCATGTGGGAATTCAAAACATTCAGCCTGAAACGCTGCACACTGCCTCTCATTCTGCTCTAATTTACTGCCGTATACTGCCACAGCCAAAAAGGCAGGCCTGAGTGGTTCATGTTCCCCCTGTGACCCTTAACGCTCTTCCTAGCAGGAAACTTAGCAAGAGTGGCCACTTCCTGTCAGACCCCGTGTGCCTTCAGCAGCCATCTTTCCTGCCCTCCCCTCATTTCCCTTGCCCTCTCTATCCCACGATGTCCTCCAGCTGTCTTTGCCCAACTCCAGCGTGTTTCCCTCTGCTGAGCTGTGTGCTGCACAGCCCCTCAGGCCTCACAGTGGGACTCTGACCCCGCTGTCGCACAGGGCCAGGTGGGGTCAGGGTGAGCATGGCTGCCCTCTCCCATCTTAGCTGGGGGTAAAACGTCCTGCTGCCGGCTCTCCACATGAGGCCGTGCCAGTCTCCAACCTTGATAGTTTTGTTTTCCTCTGGAAGTGAAGGAAGCCCTGTCTGAATCACTCTGTTAAATGGTTAACTTGTAACATCCTTGGCTGCCCTCAGAGGCCTGCTGCAGGGAAAGATAGCAGATTGACAAATGGATGCTTTGTAGTTCATTCTGGTGAAAGCTTTTCTAAGAACTGTTAACAAGGGGCAATAAAAGAGTATATTGTATTTTTTTCAAAAAGATACAGAGCGTTTCCTGACCTGACCAAGTCATTTAACTTTAAAAAGGAACTCCAGACTCTAGACACATCTTTCTTATACATGATTTATAATATCTTCTCTTCATTTTTATGTTGCATTACAATAATAAAATAACTGATAGGAAAATAGAAATAAAATTGTGCATTAACATTTTTTGTGAATTTCATTTCTATCCTTATATATTCAAATCCACTAAAACACGTGCTTCGATCTGAGAACAAAACAACACTCCCAAAACAAAGTAAGATAAACGGTCGGTTTGTTAAAAGCTTAGCCAGTTTGTCTAAAATAGGATAAAGGAATAG